GTACACAAGAAGGATGTAAAATGGCTACGAAATAGTAAAACCCTCAGCCAAATTTTGTTTGCATTACGCCCTAATAGTTGTGTATGACTGCCTCACCCTGTATTTATGAGTAGAGAAAGCTATTAAAATAGTGTAGAGCTTCTCTAACCCTCCGTGTCCGGTTAACTCATCTATTCGTTAACTCATCTACACGGCCAAAAACGTTCAACTCATCTAAACGGCTAAAATTCCTTAACTCATCTACACGTCCAAAAAGGGTCAACTCATCTAATCGTTAACTCATCTATTCGTTAACTCATCTACACGGCCAAAAAGGGTCAACTCATCCAATCATCAACTCATCTAATCCTCAACTCATCTACACGGCCAAAAACGCTCAACTCATCCAATCCTTTGGAACGAGACTATTGAGTACCAGTCGTTTGAGTCTCTCGCCGTCTGAGTCTCTGGCCGTTTGAGTCTCCGGCCGTTTGAGTCTCTGGTAAGTAGGGTCCATGGCCGTTTGAGTCTCTGGTAAGTAGGGTCCATGGCCAGTTGAGTCCATGACCAGTTGAGTCCATGACCAGTTGAGTCCATGACCAGTTGAGTCCATGGCCAGTTGAGTCCCTGGTCAGTTGAGTCCCGGCCGTTTGAGTGGTTGATTACCGCCGGTTGAGTCTTGGGCCGGTTGAGACTCAACTGACCAGGGACTCAACCGGCTAGGGACTCAACCGGCCGATATTTCAAGGATTGGATGAGTTGAGCGTTTTTGGCCGTGTAGATGAGTTAACGAATAGATGAGTTAACGATTAGATGAGTTGACCCTTTTTGGCCGTGTAGATGAGTTAACGAATAGATGAGTTAACGATTAGATGAGTTGACCCTTTTTGGCCGTGTAGATGAGTTAACGAATAGATGAGTTAACGATTAGATGAGTTAACCCTTTTTGGCCGTGTAGATGAGTTAATGAATAGATGAGTTAACGATTAGATGAGTTGTATAGGAGCCCTAACCCTCACTTTACTTTCTTACATTTTCTGTCCTTCTCTTTTAATGTTTAATGGAATTATTTTCATCTTGATTACTGTATTGGCGGAAATTTAAATTTTATTTAATGTTATTTATCCAAATCCATGCAAATCCATCTAGTTATCCATGTAGTATAGTGTTAATAGGCTTCTACAGTCAAATCTCGATATTTTAAGCTGAAAAATTGTATCGTATTGTTAAGTTTTTTAAATATAAAGTCCAAGGCTTTAGCCAGCCTAATTAAGAGTTCTTATTATCCTCTTTAATAAAAATGAGGTTAACTCATCAGCTCCAAAATTACTAAACTTTGATCCTTAACTTTATAATCGGGGTAAGAAAGAAAACGGCAAAAGTAAACCAACACCGCTCTACACAATGGTTGTGTCACATAACAAAATTTTTGAGTTTGTCAATGTTTTTTATTGTTATTATTATTCCGTTTCCATGAAGATATGTTTAGGATAAAAGAGTAGGTAAGACTTTAGCCAGTCGAATGTTAGTTTGTTATCTTCAGACAGTTAGTCTTACTTTTAAACGGGATTACTAATATCGTTTATCAGTAATGATCGAATCCATTCCTTTAATTCTTTCAACAAAAATTTTGTAAGAGATATCCAAAGTTCAGGACACCCTATAAAGGCATACATTTGTCCTCTGAGCTAAAACTTATCTAATGGAAATCTCAAAATTTTTCCATATATTTTCAATATATAGTTTATGTATTTCTTTAATCCTTTCAATAATTTTATTATTTATTTTCCTAGGAAAAAATTTATAAGAAAAGACCCGCATTTCTCAGTAATACACAAAATAATGCCAAATTTTTTATTAAAAAATATTTACAAAAATTTACATAAAAATTAAAATAATATATAATTTTTAAATCTTTTCTTCTTCAAAATTCATTTAAAATACAACAATTGTTTTTAACATTTCCTCATTTTTACATTCAGGCAAATATTCTTTTAATAAACAATTTTTGGTATTTTTATTAAATAAATAATTTTCTGGGCATTTATAATCATAAATTTGAGAATTTAAACAAATAAAATAATAACTAGAACAATTTTCTCCATAAATTCCATTAATTAAATTAATACATTGATTGGAAACTTTAATTAAAAATAATTTAAATTAAAAAAAAATTTTTAAAAAAAACTTGGATTTTCTTTTATTTTTAATATTTGTTTTGGATTTTTTAATTGTTTTCCACTACATTCGGGCACATTTTCATCATAATCACATTGAGAGGCTTTTTGAGAATATTTTAAATTTAAAGGGCAATTAAATAAATAAATTGTTGTTCCCGTACAACTTTTTTAGAAAAAAATAAATTTAATTTTAAAAAATTTAATTAAATTACCTATAATAAATCCCATTACATCCATAACTATAATAACCAATAGCTTTATTTGTACAATTAAATTCTTGATAAATATTATTTTCTTTTGTATAATGTTTTGTTGGTATATTTTTAAATAAACTTTAAAAAGAAAAATAAAAATGTAGTTATTATTTTTTGTCAAAAATAATTTTTTTTGAATTTTTTTGGGATTGTTGGAAAATATTTTTTTAATTTAGAGAATGTCTGTTTAGTTGTATGTAAAGAATAATAGGGAAAATAACAAAAAATATTAACTGCAACACAAAAAAGTGAAATTTTTTCAGCTTTTTTGCCCTAATCATTTAAATTTCCATATTTAAATAAATTAATTTGTTTCAATTTAAAAAAAAGAAAAAAACTTTTTAAAATTATTTCCTCCTCCTCCACAATTTTTAATATTTTCTCTAAAATTGCATTGTTGTTTGTCTTCATCAAAGAAAAGACCTAAAGGGCAATCTAATTTATGTAAATATTCCCCTTCCTTTGTTGGACAAAAATAAAAATAATTATTGCAATAATTATTTGAATTTGTAAATAATTTAAATTTAATTGTTTTGTTTAAACAAATATTTGCTGGTAATTGGTGGTTTTGTTGAAGGATTATTGTTGGGGTTGGCAAATTAAATGGACGTGAAGGTAATTGAATACCTTAATTTAAATAAGCATAATTTGTTTTAAAATAATGTGACAAATATTATCCAAAATAAAGTTAAGTTTTGTTGTACTTTTCAAAAAACTTTTTCCCTCGTTATTCCTCTTATTCACTATAAAATTTTCTAAGTAATTTTTTCTAAAGGTAATTTTTCGATTTTTGTCAAAATTAGTTAAAATTAATTTAATCTATTACTCTTCCAGCGAAAGGTTGAAACAATAATTACCCCCCTAAAACGTTATAATTAGCTTTTATTAATTACCTCTATTAATAACCTCTATTAATTACCCCACCTCTTATCAATTACCCTCTCCAGAGAGAGAGGTTCAAACAATAATTACCCAAAGTAATTAATAGAGTATATACGGTAAATATCCTAATAACTCCAAAATTTTTTATTAAATATTCTCTCCCTCTCTCTATTTAATTTAAAATACCTTTAATTCCTTGTTGTGGAAGGTCAGAATAAATTAATGAAGGTGCTGGATGTATATTAATTGGTGGAAGGGGAGAGGAAGAATAAATTAAAGGAATTGTTTGGTGTTTTTTAATTAATTTAGCTGTATATTGTTGTTGATTTAATGAACTTTTGAATTTAAATTAAAAATTAAAAAAAAATTATTTTTACTTATTTTCTTTTTGCTTTTTTGGACAAACATTTTCTTTATATTGACAAGATACTTTATTTGTATCAAATACCTTTAAATTATTTTTAAATTATTTAATTTCTTTTAAAAAACCAAATTTTCTGGACATTTTAATATATTTAATTGTTCATTTAAACAACTATAAAATAATGAAGAAACAAAACATTCTTCTCCTTCCTCTTTTTGTTCATTTAAATTTCCTTTTGCATAATAACCATTCCTTTTACCTCTTTTATTAAATAAAAATTAATTATTTAAATTTAATTAAAAATTAATTTACTTGCAATTAAACTCCTCAAAAGAACGAGTTAAAGAAGAAGAATTACTTTAAAATTTAAAGATTAATTTTTAATTAAAACAAAAAAACTTCTTTTTTGTTTTTCCACAAACTTCTTTATATTGACACAAAACATTAATTGGGTCAAACACAAGTTTATCTGGACATGTTAATCTTTGAGGTACTCCCCCAACACCTTTTTTAAATTTAAAAATAAAATTTAAATATTTAAATAATTACAAATATAAAAATTAGGAGAACAGGCAATTCTATAATAATAACCATCAATTCTTTCTTTACAAGAAAAAGTACCAAAACTTTGAGGTAAAATTGGGGGTAATATTGTTGTTATTTGAAGGCTTTTAAATTAATTAATTTTAATTTTTGTTTAAAATTACCTCCTCAATTGCTCTTTATTTCTCCCACAATTAATTAAATATTCACATTTCCCAAAATTATAATCAAAAACCAATCCTTCCGGACATTTTAATTCAATTTTTCTTTCCCCAGAACAAACAAAATATTTATTTTGACAATTTTTTGAATTTAAAAGAAAGCCGTCTTTTTTATTTAAACATTCATTTATTTGTGGTTGTGAATATATTAAATGGGGAGGTGGAAGAATTTTTAGTTTATTATTATTAGATAAAGAATATATTAATTGTTGTTGAGAATTTGAAGAATTAATTGTTGTTGGTGTTGGTAAACTAATTAAATATTAATTAATTTTAAAAAAAAAGACACAGAACTAATACAAATTTATAAAATTACTAGAATATTTAAATTACAAACAATATATTTAATTTTTAAAATTATTTTCAATTCCTTTACGAAAAAGTACTTATGTATGTATTCTTATTAGTTAATTATTTAAATTAGTAAACAAATTAAAATTATTAGACAAATATTAACAAATAGACGACAAAACACACAAATATATTTATTTAATTTAATTTTTATTGCACATTAACATTTAATTAATTAATTACACAAAAACGAATATTTATTTTATTTATTTCTTAATTAATATTTTTTACTATTTTCCTTTGCCACATTCAGCAGCAAATGTACATCCATTCTGTTTTGTGTCAAAAAGAGTTCCAGGGGCACAACTTTGTTTATAAGTATATCCACCAGTACAAATAATCCAAATTGGTTGACAATTTTGTTGGTAATAATAACCATCAGCTTTTCCATGACAATTAAATTCTCCATAAGAGGGAGAAGATGGAGGAGAAGGAATTTTGACTGTATCAGGAGAACCAGGGGGGACTTGTTGTGGGGTATAAACACTGAAAGAATTAAATATTTATTTAGAAAAGCTCTCTCCTTTACCTTGGTGGGGGAGTATATGGCTGTGGAGGGGTCTTTCCACATTCTTCTTTAAATGTACACTCAGCTTTTGCTGGTTCAAACAAAGTTCCAGCTGGACAGTATTGAGTAAAAGCACTTTCCCCACTGCAAACGTAGTAATGTCCTTCACAAGCTTTTTGATAATAGAATCCATCCTTCCTTCCTTTACAACTAATTGGTGGAGGTGGGGGAGTTTGTGGTGGAGGAATTGGTGCTGGAGGAGAATATTGAGAAGATGGTGGTGGTGGAGGAGGTGTAGGAGGTGGGGGACAATTTTCCTTGTAGTCACACTGTTTTGAGGCAATATTGAAGAAAAGAGAGCCTGGACATGTTGTTGAGTAAGCAATTCCTTTTTGGATTATAAAATTAATTTTAGTTAATAATTTAGTTAATTACCATTAGTGCAAGTATAATAATCTTTTGAACATCCATCCTTTACATAATAACCATCAGCTTTTCCGCTGCAATTGAAAGAAACGGGAGGTGGTACATAAGGCTGGATAGGTTGTGGAGGTGGATATTGTGGTGGTTGAGGAACATTGCGTTTTTTTCGATATCCATAAGATGGAGGTGGGGGTGGTACGTAGCTTGGAGGTGCTGGGGGTGCGTAGCTCGGAGGTGCTGGTGGTCCGTAGCTTGGAGGTGCTGGGGGTGCGTAGCTTGGAGGTGCTGGTGGTCCGTAGCTGGGAGGTTTTGGCCTTAAATTTAAATCTATTCTCATTTTAGAAAAACTCCACCAACTTATGTTTCCCACAGTCTCCAGAATATTCGCAGACTTGATTAACTTCATCAAAGACCAATTGAGGCGAAGCACATTGCATTACAGTTGTTTTACCGGCAGAGCAGTAAAAGAAATAAGAAGAGGTACAATTTCCAGCACCGTAGAGTCCATCAGATTTTTTGGAGCAGTCATAAGTAGGTGGTGGAGGAGGACCAGCAGTGGATGTTTGTACTGGTGGGGGTGATCCTCCACATGCAGGAACGTAAAATTTGTAGTCACAGTCTAAATATATGTTTAAAAATATTAAAATAAAATTTTAAAAAATTATTTACATTTTCCAACAGCATAATACGCCAAATTTGGGGGACATTGGTAAAGGAATGCTCGTTGATTTGCACATTTCCAGAATTTATCAGTGCAACCTCCAGAAGGTAATTCATATAAACCATCAGGCTTTGAGGAGCAGTCGAATTGTGGAGGAGGTGCTGGGCCATATGCAGGTGGAGGTGCCGGGCCATATGCAGTTGGAGGTGCTGGGCCATATGCAGGTGGAGGTGCTGGGTTATATGCGGGTGGAGGTGTTGGGACATAGCTCTGAAAAATTTAGAAGGATTAAACTGAAAAGTCTATTAACTGGAGGTGCATAAGCAGGAGGTTGTGCTGGCGGAGAGGGAGGAACATAAGATGGCGGTGCTGGTGGTTGAGGGGGAATATATGCTGGTGGAGCGGGTGTAACAGGAACATAAACAGGTGGTGGTTTTGTAGTTGTTGGAGGAACTGGTGGAGGTGTTGGTCCATAGCTGGGAGGTGCATAAATTGGGGGAGCAAAAGCTGGAGGTCCACCGGCAAATTTAGCAATTGGTGCTTCATATCCTCCGAAACTATCCTCAAATGGACTACTGAAAATGAATATACATAGAATATATTTTTAAAATGAAAAAGTAAAATATAAAATTCCTCACGAAGCTCGCATTTTTCGAACACTTCCTTGTCCCGGTGCTCCTTCTTTAATATTTTTCAAATTAATTTTTTCAAATAAAAAAATATTTTTAACTATCAGTTTTGCATTTTTCCTTTCTATCACAAGCCCCAGCCTTTTGATTATATGCCAAACCATAAGGACATTCTCTTTCAAGTTTCTTTCCATTATCACAAGTTATATACGTGGAAGAACAAACACTTGATTCATATTCCCCATTTGGTTTGCCATTACAAGTAAATGGATCTTTAGCTCGATATAATTGATGGGAATAAGCAGATCCTCCATTTGCACAAATCGGGATTGACTGGGGTTCTTCGCATTGATTTGTTCCGGGATTTAACTAAAAAATTTTTTGAACTTCTATACATATTAGAATATTTTTTTAATAAAATGGTTAATAATTTAGAGATTAAATTTTTAGTTAAGGGAATTTTATTATAAATATTACTTTTAAATTATGATAGCAATTCATTGCTAATTCTCGTCCATTAGTGCAGATTGAATAAAAACTTTAAAATATTTTTATTAAAAATATTTTCCTTTAAAAAAGTACCGACTACAACCCCAAACATAATTTCCATCGGGCAAATTAGCGCAATTCACTGGATTTCGAAATTGGGGCTCAGCTACAATCAAAATAAATAAAAATATTTATTTCTTTTAATTACCGGAAGAGACCAAAAGAATTAAATTAGAAATAATTAAAGAAAATAAAGGAATTAAGTTAAAAAACCTCATTTTTTATTTGGGGTCTTAAAAATTAAAAAATAAATAATTTTAATAAAAATTTTTAAACGTTAGAATTTTAGGAAATGAGGAGAAATTAATCTTATAAAAATCCCTAAAATTAATATTTATTAAAAGAATATTTATTTTTATTTTTTGTTATATAAAATATATTTTTCTTCAATTTATATACCCCTCCAAAATTAAAAAAAAATTTTTTTTTCAAAATATTATTTAAAATTAAAAATGTTAAAATAATGAATAAGACAAAATGATTAACAAAAAATTTAAATTTAAATGTTAAATATGTTGCTCCTTTTTTTAATAGACAAATGAATGGATGAGTGAGTGAGTGAGGACATTAAAATTTTGTTGCAAATAAAGAGGAGGACAATATTAAAATTATTTTTTTAAGAAATAAATGTTAAAATAAATGAATAAACAATAAATAAATAAATATTATTTTTAAAAATATTTTTTTAAAAAATAATTTAATGAGAATATTTAATTGAAATTCTATAAATCAAAGGTTAAAGTCGTCCTTCTAGCTATTAATTAAAGAAAAATTCCCGGATGATTAAATCTAAAACAATAAATAAATTTACTATAATCTTTCTCTAAACTTTAAATTATTACAATAAATATGTATATTAAAAACTTTTCCTTTTATTTAAAAAAATATTTAGAAAGTAAAAAGGCTCTGGGAAGCAAACGAAAAATCTCAAAATCTGAGAAAAACAAATTATCCAAACTAGAGATATTTTTCGATATTTGGTTTCGATATTTATCGAAAAAATACTGATCGACCCTTTCGGCCGAATCTATTCCAAACTTTAAATTTTAAAAATTTTTTTATTATTAATTTAATAAAGCAAAAATTGCTTTAAGTGATTTTAAAAATTGAATTAATTTGTCTAAAAAAATTAAAAATATTAACACAATTAATTTAATTTATTTATTTATTTAAAAAAGGGGAAATACAATTAAAATAAGAGAAATGTTTTTGAGCCTTTTGTGAGATCACAAAATACAAAATTTGGAGATAATTTTTGAATCAAAAAAGTTTTTTAATCCAAATTTTGTTTTTAAATCGCAACAAATTATAAAAATTAAAATAATTTTAGAATTCTTTTTTTATTTTCTTTTTTAAAAAATGGCAGTTATTTAAATTTTGTTTTGTTTATATTTAAATGTTGCTGCATTTAACACAATTTAGAAGAACATCAAAAATTCCATCAGTTTGCAGACCAGATTCTATTGGACAGCCTAATTCAACTGGAGGTAAAGGTAATTTATCTGATGCAGCAAATGAGCACTAAATATTTTAGAAAAATTAATTTAATTTCCTCCCTTCCTCTCCCCCTCGAACCCTCCCTCCTATCCCCCCCCCCTAAATTAATTAACACTAACAATTAATTTATTTGGATCAAATTTAGCCAAAGAACATTTATTTTCTGCACATTTGATGGCACATTCATTAATAGTTTGTGTTGGAATGGAATTTGTTGAATCAACAATTACCCTTTTTGAATCAGCAATTGTTAGACTGTAGTTACAGTCTTTCAAATAAAGAATATTTTCAATTAAAATTCCTCAATTCCTCTACCTGTACATTTAATACAATTAATTAAAAAAGGGACAGTAGAAGCATGTTGGGTTGTTAAACGAATTGATTGAGTACAATTATCTTTTCCTTCAACATTTTTAGTTAATAAACAAACACCCCCAGAAGATTCATGTCCAGGGGTTGGAATAAAACCGGCAATTAAACAATTTGGCTTTAAAAAAGAAAGATGAAAGTATTCTCTTTAATTAAAAGCACAAACAGTTTCAAAACATTTTCTTGCACAATCAGCAGCTGTATCTGCAGGTACATCATTTGTTATATCAAGAAGATGTAATTCAGGTACTGGATGGATATTAAATTCTACTCGACCAGAACATTTTGTTGTTACTCCTAAATAGATATATTTTTTGAATAATTTTGTATTTTATTTTTGGTTTAATATAATTGAGAAACAAATATAAAGGTGTTTATTTTATTAAATAATAGGGAATTTGCTTGAAGTTTTGGCCTCGCACTTACTTTACTTAAGAAATAAGCAATAAAATATCAAATTTTTGATTTTCTGATCCTAAGACACCAGAATTTTGGATTTATTATAACTACTAATAGAGGGAGATATTAATAACGTAAAGATGCTAAGTAAGTTAATATTTTAAATTTCACAAGCCTTGTGGATTAATTAAATGATTATGTTGTTCTTCATTTAAAAACCTTCTAAAATTATCTAAACTAAATTCATCTCTTAAAACCCTTTCATTTAATTTTTGTTTATCTTCTTCTTTCTCTTCTTCCCCTTTTTCACATTTAATACATTTAATTGAAACAACTTCTGGTATTTGTTTAAAATTCCAATTAGAAACAAATTCTGTTTCATTTTCACATTTTTGTTCTAATTGTAATTCATTTAAATTAAAATGAAGTAAACAAGCAGAACGAGGAAAATGTGTAAATGCAGCTTTTGTACAATTTAATAAATAACAAGTTTTTACACATTCATAAACTGTTTCTGAAGCAATTATTATTTCAAATGATTGTGTATAATCTGTTAATATTTCTCCAGTAAATAATAATTCTCCATTACATTCTAAAATAATAATTTTTTAAAATTAATTCTGAGATAAATTAGGCACCTCAAAAATTAATTCCAAATACCCTCCCCCCTCCCCCCCCCTCTCAAAAAAAACTCCCCCCCCCCTCTCCCTTTATTTACCTCGATTTCCAAAATCTTTGAGAATATTGTGTGGCCTTATTTCCCCAATAGTTCCATTACTTCCAACAAAATCTACAAGTTTTGTAACTGCAGCAACTGTTGGCTCTTCTGTTACTACAATTTTCTTTACATCAACAACTTGAGAAACAGCATTAATTAATTCTGGCATTTCTTCTGTTGTTTCTGAATTAGAAGAAATTGTTGAAAATTCAGAAGAAATATTTCCTTCAGAAATTGTTGTTAATAATTCTTCTGGTTGAATTGTAGTGTTGTTCTCTGTAGCACCCTCAGATAATTGGGGAGGTCCTCCCAAAACGGCTACATTAACTGGTGTCCCTTCTGTTGTTGTGTTTATTCCCTCAATTGTTGTAGTTGCTTCAGAAATTGTTGCTTCAGTAACATTCCCTTCAGTATTATTCCTTTCTTCACCTTCAGGTACTATTCCAAATATTCCTTCTACTTTATTTTCCAATGTTGTTGAAATATTTCTTCCTTCAATCCCTTCTTCAGTTATTGCTCCAATTAATTCTGTTTCATTTGTTGATGTTTCTAATTGAGAAGTAACATTTTCTTCAGAAACACCAATTTCTCCTTCAATTGTTGTTTCTTCATTTTCAGAAGGATGAATAGTTGCATTTTCTGTAGCCCCGCCAAATAATTCAGAAGGCCCTAAAACAACAACGTTTATTGGCCCTTCAGTTGGAGTTATTGTGGAGGATGTAGCATTATTCCCTTCCAAAGCTTCTAAAGTTGCATTTTCTGTTGCCTCATTTATCGATGTTGTCCCAACTGTACTAGCATTTGATTCAATACCTGAAGGAACATTTTCTTCTTTTCCGTCGTCTACTATTCCAAATATTTCTGGTTCAGTTTCAGGTGTTGTTGAAATATTTGTTTCAGAAGATATCCCTTCCTCTACCCCAATTTGTGTAGATGTTTCTGATAATGGTGTTGAATTATTTAATGTTTGATTTGATTCAGCTCCGCTTGGAATTTCAGAAACTTCTTTTTCCTCTTCAGGTTTTACTCCAAATATACCAATTGCTTCAGTTTCAGGTGTTGTTGCTAAATTTGCAAGAGGAGTTGTTGCATTTATCTCCAAAGGACCGCCAAAAACTTGAGAAACTTCTTTCTCACTTTCTAATGTTGATGCTTCAGCTGCTATAGTACTAGTTGCTGTTTCATTGAATTCAGAAGCAGCACCAATGCCAGCCCCCAAAATAGCTACATGTTCAGGTGAAATTCCTTCTCCACTTTCTGTCGTCTGGAAAAATGTAGGTGTACTTGTGTTATTTTCTTCGGCAACAAAATGTGTTTCTGGCACTTCTTTTTGTGTTCCATTTATTTTTCTAATAACTCCCTCTATTTCGAATCCTGTTAATTGAGAATTAGAAGCATTTGTTGGTATTTCTGCGGCTTGTGCTGCTCCGATAATTTCTCCTGTTTCATTAGTCGGTGTTCCTTCAGGTGTTGTAGTATTTGCTTCAGAGGCACCAAGGATGCCTAAAGGTCCCGCTGCTACTCCAAGATTTTCTTTTTCTGAAGTAGATGTTGTTGTTCCAAATATTTCTGTTGTAGCATTGTTAGCTTCAGTGATGGCTGTTATCGTTTCATTAGTCGATATAGATTCAGTTGTGACATTTTCTGCACTCGGAATTTCAGAAACTTCTCCTACACTTCCAAATGGTATTACTCTAAATATTTCTTCTTTAGACGTTGAACTTGTTTCAGAAACACCCGTAGCCGTAATATTTGCTTCGAAATTAGAAGGAGTTGTAGGATTTAATTCCGGTTTTAATTCAGCTGGTAATTCTGAAGCTTCCTTTTCCTCTTCATGTGGCAGTAAAACGCCAAATATTTCCTCTTTTGTTGTTGAAGTTTCTGGAGTTGTTGTAGTATTTGTTTCAGCTGTCTCATTAATAATCCCTTCTGGTTTAGTAGTCAATAATGTTTCAGGCGTTGTTGCATTTAAACTGGTATTAGTGGATTCTTCATTTCCACCTTCAAACGGTATTACTCCAAATATTTCTTCTTTTGTTTTATTTTCTGGTATTGTCGAAATTGTTTCAGAAATAACCGAAGCCGTGGTATTTAGTTCATAAGTACTCGGTGTTGTAGCATTTGGTCCAAGTGCAACAAAAGTTTCGTTTTCTTCATTTCCCAGGGCAATTACTGCTAACGATTCTTTTGATGACGTTGATTCTAATGGTATTGTTGTACTTGTTTCGAAGACAACTTGTGTTGTAGCAGTAATTTCCGAAGATTCTTCATCTCCTCCGTGTATTCCAGATGTTGTAGTATTTGTTTCAACTTCACCAGAAGCTCCAACTTCTTCACTTCCTAAGCCTACTATTGCTATTGACTCTTTTGTTGATGTTACTTCAGGAATTGAAGTTGTTGCATTTGTTTCTAAACCTTTCTCTAAAGTTTCTGCTTCTGTTTCATGCATTGCAGCAATAAATTCTCCTTGTGATGTTGTTTCAAAACCACTTGGAGTTGTTGGTAAACTAATTGGTGTTTCTTCTTTCGTCTCGTTTAATGAACTTATTACTCCCTCTATTTCAATTCCCTTTGTCATATTTGCCTTATTCTCATCAAAATGAGTAGATTCTTCTGTTTTATTAGCAGTTTGTGCTGTTGCATTTGCTTCTGAAGCACCAATAACGCTAATTGCTCCCGCTACTGCTCCAAGCTTTTCTTTCTCTACATCAGAAATCGGCGTTGTTTCTAATAAAGTTTCATTTGTAATTCCAGCTTCAGTATTTGATGATATTCCTATACTTGTAGTATTTACCTCAGAACTTGTTGGTAGTTCTGAGGATTCTCCTTCTTCATGTGGTGGTATTACACCGAATATTTCTTCCTTTGATGTTGGAACAGTTGCTTCAGAAATTCCCGTAGTTGTAGCATTTAATTCGTAAGTCTCTGGAGTCGATGTTGTATTTATTTCTGAAGCTTGTGTTATCTCGATTTCTTTATTAGCCAAAGTTGATTCTGGTGGAATTTCAGACGATTCATGTTCACCTCCTAAAGGTATTACTCCAAATACTTCCTCTCCTGATGTTGAAGAAACTATTTCAGAAACCCCTTTAAGCGTAGTATTTGCTTCATAATTTTCAGGAGTTGTAGAATTTACTTCTGAAGTGATTGGCATTTCTGAAGGTTGTACTGCACCTAAAATCCCTGCCTCTGTAGCATTTAATGCTTCCGTAGCTTCTGTTGCATTTGCTTCAGCACTACTCGGAATTTCCGAAACTTCTTTTTCATTCTCAATAGGTATTACTCCAATTACTGCTTCCTTTGTTGAAGTTGCTTCCGAAACTGTTGCATTTGCTTCATATGTTTCAGGTGTTGTTGCTTCAGTTAGATTAGTAACATTTGCTTCAATCGCTTTTTCAGTTTCAGGAGTTGTCTCAGTTGTTGTTTCGCTTAAATTAGATTCAGAACCGCCGAGAATTATAGGGCCTTCAATTTCCGTTTCATGACTCGATTCTTTTGTTGATTCCAATCCTTCTGTTCCTGTAGAAATTGGTGTAGGAATTGTTGTAAAGTTAGACTGAAGGGGAATTTCAGAACTTTCATTTTGCCCTTCTTGTGATATTCCAAATACTTTTGGCTCAGTTTCAGGTCCAATTGAAGTACTTGATTCTTTTTCTTGTATTTCCTCACTAATAACAGATCCTTCTCCTTCAATATTACTTTCCTCACTACTTGTTTTATTTCCCTCATTTTCTTTTATTGTCGATCCAAATTCTGATGGATATGTTGATTCATTTATTATTCCTTCATTAGCAGAAACTGTAGCATTTCCTAATGTTGATATTGTTGTTGTTTCTGAAGCAAAAGTTTCATTTCCTTCTTTTGTTGTTGTTCCACCAATAATTAAAGGACCAAAACCTGGACTGCTTGTAATTGTTGGAGATACCTCATTTAGAGGATTTATTGTTGTTGATGTTGCTTCATTTTCTGTTTTATTTGTTTCCCCTTCATTTAAATCTTCTGTTTGATTTTTGTTTTCATTTTCAATAATTACAGGAACAATTCCCCCAATTTCACTTTCAACAGTTGTTGTTGCTAAAGGAATATTTGTTGTTGTTGAGGAGGAGGAGGGAGGTATTTCTTCATTTGTTTTATTTTCAGAATTATTTCCTTCTAATGGATTTGCTGCAATTATTGGAATAATTGGGGTTGTTGAAGGCAATAAAGGTGTAGGTGTTTCATATGTTGCTTCCGTTTTTAATGTTTCTTCTGAAGCATTTTTTGGTTTCTCTTCAAAAATACCTCCCCCTCCAACAAATTCTTTATTTTCTTCAGATTCTTTTGGATTAATTGTTATCGCCGTTGTTCCTTCTTGTTCTTCTTCTGTTTTATCTACTAAACCTCCTTCAACATTTCCTGGAGTAGAAGAAGCTTCATTCTCTCCTTCTTTCTTAGATTTTATTTCAGAATTTTCAGTTTTTGGTTTAACAGTCTCATTTTGAAGTGAAATAACAGAGCCAGCCAAAATATGTTGTTCTGGAGAAATTAAAGGTTCTAAAGTTGTTAATTCTTCTTCTTCTTCCTCCTCCTCTTTTGTTTTATTTAAAACTTTTTCTTTTTCAGAACTAATTTGTTTTTGTCTATTAGGTATAGCTACACCAACAGATTTTGGCCGAACTGTTGATCCATTTATTATTTCATGTTCGCTAACTATTTTAATTGGAAGAAGCGGTATTCCTTCATCAATTGGAGTTGTTGATTGGAGTTGCTCTCCTTCTTCTTCTTTTTCCGTTGTTGCTTTTGTTGTTGAAGTAGTCTCTTCTTTATTAGGGGTTATTCTAGTTATTTTTGTATCAATAGCTGCTAATCCTGTTGCTTCAATTACTGTTGCATTTTTAAATTGTTCTGTTTCTGCCTGTATTTGACTTGGAGAAGAAAAAGGGGTTTGTGTTATTACTTCTTGTGATAATAAAATAGTTGTAGATTCTGAAGTTGTTGAGTGAGGTACTTCTTCATTTGTTTTATTTACAGAATTATTTTCTTTTAATGGATTTGCTGCAATTGTTGGAATATTAGTCGGTGTTTCATATGTTGCTTCATGTGTAGTTTCATTTTGTGTTGGAGTTGAAGCTGTACTTCTTGCAAAAATTTCAGCAAATGGTGATACTGTTGTTGGCTTTTTTGCTACTAGAAAATTAATAAAGAAATATTTTTTGAAGGAATTCGAGATTGGGAATGAAATAATTCGAAAATCATTCCAAAAATAATTTCTGTACACTAAATTGTATCGCAAATAAGGATTGGATTTGTGCCTGATAATTATTTTAAAGAAAAACTAACCACAACGTACACAACTCATTAATGTCATATTAATATTTGGATAAGAGTAATGTCTTTGTAAATTTCCACTACATTTTTCTGTATTCGATTCCATATCCAAATGACATTTTGAAAGCCTAACTCCACTACCCTCAGTAGATTCTTCTCCTCCCGGGCCCAATTCAAAAAGAACGTTTGAGCAAGCATTTTGATAACAAATAAAGGCACATTCATTTAAACTAAAATAATATATTCTGTCCAATTTTTAAAATATTTTATATTTTTACCTAGAAACTGAAGCAGTTTTAGATAATTTAAAATTAGCCAAAGCTTTATCCCTTTCAATTTCTGGGAATACTTCAAAAGTAACTAGACAAGCTAAAAAATTAAAAAAAAGTTTTTAAACTTTAATATATAAAATTCTAACCACCTCTCCAAATTTGCCTTTGTTTTCGAAGATTAGCTTCTTCATCTATCCTTTCTCCTCCATTTTCTTTTGCTTTATTATTTGGGGATATTATAGCTTTATTCGCTCCTTCGCCATTTTCTACTGAACTTTTTAATGGATCATCGTTTTGTTTTTGTTGATTAACTTCAAAAAAATTTCTTTTAATTTTCAGAAGATTTAGTGATCAAATAAAAAAATAATTTAAATAATTACCTGAAGATATTAATCTTTTAAATCCTTTAGGGACATCTTCAGGTCCACTAATTAAAGGTTCATTCTCTTCCTTTTCAATTTTTCTACATTTTAAACATTCAACAACAACAACATTTTTATTTTCTTCTAAACTTAATTTTTCAATTTTTTCTGTAGATAACAATATTTTTCCATTACAATCGTCACTCGAATGAAGAAAAAGACGACAAGTTTTTTTAATTGAATTATTTGACAAAAAAAGAATTGAATAACTATTTAAAGTTAAAAATTTTAAAAAATTAATTTATTTAAAACACCAAAATCTATATCCATAACATTGATGTACACAATCATTTAAAGATTTTGTATAAACATCCATTGTTAACCAAAATTGCCTTTTCTGTTCCCACTCAATTGCATCATTTCCAAAAAGAGAATTTCCATAAATATTGCCAAGAGGTGAAGGACAATCTTTATTTATAAATAATTTTAATTTATTTTTTAATAAATAGATGAGGAAATTTTTGAAAGGAAAATATATTACAAGTAATGGGGAATTAAAGATATCCCCCCTTTACTTATTTTTTAAAAAATTATTTTATTATTTTAATTACCAAAATCTTCTGGAGGTTTTCCACCAACAGGGATTGAATTTAAAATTAATATTTTATTTAATAATATAAAACCAAAGCAAATAATAATTTTTAAAATAATTGAAGCCATAATATGTAGACAAAAAAGGAGAAAAACAATACAAAAACACCTTTTTAAATTTAAAGGAGAATTTAAATAATTTTAATTTTTTCAATAATCATAGGAATGTTATCTAAAAATAAATAAATTTTTTAAAAATATTATTCAAAATATACATAAATTAAAAAAATATTTTTCTTTGACTTTAAATTATTTTTAAATTAAATTAAATTTAAATTTTATTTTTACAAAATTTAATGTTTAAATTTTTAAAATAAAAACAAGTTCTTTTTGTACTATTTTAGTAATAAATAAATTAATTTAGCCAAAAATAAATAATAAAAATTATTTTAATTATCAAAAATAAAAAAAAAAGATTCTAAAACAAGTAAAATAAAAAACCAAAAAATTAGTAATAAAAAATAGAAAATTTAAGTTAAATAAAAAGAAATAAAGAAATTTTATTATTAAACCAAAACAGTTAATGTTGCATTTATTTATTTATTTATTTATTTTTACCCAAATTTGCGCAAAGAACAAAAACAACAATAATAATAATAATATAATTTATAAAAAATGACTAAAAATATATTTGATATTTCCCTAATTAAATAAAGAAAATATTTGCAAATAAAAGTAAAACGATTGACCAAAAAATATTTCTGAGTATTTTAATAAAGTTTATTTTAGTGGAACTTTATTAATTAAATAAATATTTTAAAAGAATTTTATTTTTTTATTTTTTAACCTCCAAAAAATGTTCAAAATTTATATTTAAAATAAATAAATTAGCTTAAATTTTTATTTATTTTTTTTATTTCAAAAATTATTTTAATTTTCAATTGCGCAATCAAATTAGTAATAAATTTATTTCTTAAAATATCCTTTTATTTATGAGTAATCATTTTAAAAAACACTCAAAAATAATAATTTAAAAACCTTCTTTCGTCTTAATAACAAATAAAATTATTTATTTATTTAGTAGAAAGTATATAATTGGGCAATGAATAAAAGAAAAATGACAAATTAAAAAATAAAATTTAAAGAAATTCTTCTTTTTTTCAATTGTTTGCTCATTTTTAATCATTTTTCTTTTATTTTTTTAAATTTAAAAATAAATTGGGACATTTAAGGGATATAAAAAGTTTTAAAAAATAATTAAAATTAATTGTAATATTTAAAGAAGAAATGATGAATAAATAAAAAGTTAATCACTTTACTTCGAGACAGAAAAATAAATAAATTACTTTTTAAATAAAAGTTTTAAATTCAAAAATTCGCCCTATATGTTCTTCTTAAAAATATCCTTGATAAAAATATAACAATTAAAATTGGAAAGTGAACAAAAAAAGAAAATTATTTTTAAATAATGTTGTCCCCATAAGGAATAAAATTTGAAAATAAAAATTAATTTCTATATTTAAAAATACCTGAATATTTTTAATAAAAATAATTAAAAACATTGGAGGCCGTCTGGCAAATATTTTAAAAATTCATTTAATCGAGGAATTTTTCGTGTCGTATCGGCCTTCAATTTCTCTTTAATTTATTTTGTGCCTTTCTTCTTTTTCTCCTCAAGGTCCCCCCCCCCCCTTTTTTTTTGCGAAAGGAAAAACTTTTTTTAAATCATTTTGGGGGTGGTCGATTCGAATAAAAAAATAAAAACAAAAATTCTCTCATTTTTATGCCCGACTTACTGCCAGGTTATAACCTTCTTTTTTTAAAAAGAAGAAAGAAGAAAAGGAAAGATTTAAGAAAAAGATATTGAATAGCGCAACGGAATTTTATTGGCAAAAAATATTTTTGTAATTTTATTTTTTTTAATATTAATTAAAAATTTATTTATTTTATATACTAAAATTTTATTGCTGAAAATAAAAATATTTTATATAAAATAAATAGGTAAATAGGTTGTTTAAAAAAAGAAAATTTAAAAAATATTGTTGATCAAAACCGATCATTCGCTTTTTATGTTTTGACCAAATGCCAATTTATTTTGGGTGGATTAAAAGAAATCGAGTTAATTTAACAGAGAAATGTCAAAATTTTCTTGGCCAGCTCTATAATTTTTTGTTTATTTAGAGACATTCTCTTTAAATAAAAATATTTTTTAAAATTATTTAAAAAAAATTTTTATTTTTTAATTTTTGCAACAAAAATATAAAATAACCTCCCCCCTAACATTTATGCAAAAATATCAAAACCTTCACAGAAAAAATTGGAATTTTGATGGAAATTGTAAAAGAAAAATGCGCGTAAAAAGAAAAAGAAGCAAAAATAAGTAAAAAATATTTTTATATATTTAACGCCTAGTATTTATTACGCTAAAAAAGAAACCTGTAGAAAATGATGGGGCCAATAAATAAATGTATTTATAATAAATGATTTTTTAAAAGGACCAAAGAAGGAGGAATATTTATTAAAAAGAATTTTTATTTTAAAAAAGATTAGAGATTAAAAATAAAAATAAAAATTAAGTAGAATCAAAAAATTAATTATTTAAAAGAATAAAGAAAATAATTTTTAAAAAATAATAAATTTACATTTTATTTTAAAAAATATTTCTAAAAATTAGGATTGTCGATTTTTGGAAAATCTTTGAATATCCGGAAACAAAAACTCTCAAGTTCTTTAGTTATGAACTGACAAACTTAAAAATATGTTTTAGAATGTCTAAATTAAATATTTAATTTATCCAAAAAATCCTTTAAAATAAAATATAAAATTAATTTTTATTTAATTAAAAAAACTTCTCTCTTCTTTTTTTGTCAAAACAACAAACATATTGTTTTTTGTTTTTTAGAAAGAATTAAAGTAAAAACCGTTTTGTTTCCTTTTCTTATGGACAAAACGCGTGCGCGACAACAAAAAAGAAAAGAGAGAAAAGAAATATGTTTAAAAAAATAAAAACTTTGAACAATTGACTTTTACGCTTAATTCACAAAAACCAATAAAAATATTATAAATAAATAACCAAAAATATATTTAATTTTTTTGTTTTTAATTTAATTAGGGGAAAAGAAGAAGGTCAATTAAAATATTCAAAAAATTAATATAAAAAACTCCTTCAAATAAATTTAATTAATATGTATTTATATAATTTTTTTGGCACTATATGAAAGGAGGTCGATAATCGTTTTTTTTCATAACTTTTTTCTATTACTTTTTCCTTCCTTAATTATAAATAATGGTCAGGCTTTTCTTCCTCGTTCAATTCCACTCTTTTTACCTGTGGCATATTCAAATGAGGACAGACAAAAACACACACACGGACAGACAAAACACGAGTGTTTTCTGTTCATGTCCGTTCGTGTTTGTCTGGTGTTTTCTCTGTCTGTGTCCGTCCGTGTTTGTCTGTCCGAGTCCGTCTGTGTTTGTCTGTCCGATTCTATCCGTGTTTTGTCTGTCCGTCTTTTGTCCGTCTGTCGTCCGTGTTTGTCTGTTCGTGTTTTGTCTGTCCGAGTACGTCCGAATTTTGTCTGTCTGTGTGTCGACACAAAAAAACAGGAGACCCTTGAATGCATTAATTGCCTGTATTGAGTCATTCTCCTTTCCACTAATTCTTTTCTCTATCATTTCTTTTGATTATGCCACAGGGAATATAATGTAATAGAACAAGGAGGAAAATGTTGACCATTCTTTCATATCAAGGAAGGAAAAAACTAATAGAAAAAAGTTATGAAAAAAAACGATTATCGACCTCCTTTCATATAGTGCCATTTTTTTTATTAAAGTTCATAATAAATTTATATTAGTGAAACATAAATATTTATTTATTTCCATCCACTTTTTTGTATAGAATATTTTATTAAAGTAAAAGTCCTAAACAATTTAGAGATTGGACTTGTATTTTTATAGATATACTAAATAAATAAAATAATTAAAATCAATTTTTAAATCAAAACAAATAATTTTAAAATAAAATTAATTACCAAAAATTTACTTTTTTAAAGTGCAAAAAGAAAATTAAAAATATTATTATGCCACAAAATCATAAAAATGTTAATAACCCCTTCTCTTTACTTTAAATATACCTATATCTCATCAACCACTCCTAATTTCCACCTCCCCCCCCCCTCCTCTATATAATCAAAACGTCGAAGTGAAAGGCAAAAGGTGATTGAAGACAGCCTCGGGGACAACAAGGGGAAAAATTAAAAGAGAAAAGAAGAAAATATACATAAACTAAACCAGTTAATATAACCACCATAAAGGCCTCAAAAAGACGTGAATATATAAAATTCTAATGTGAAAGACTAAAATTTTTTTGTATTTAAACAAGTCTAAATTACCGTCATAAAATTAAGAATGTAAAAAAAAGCGAGAAATATGTAAAAGTTTAAAAGAGAGAGGGGGAGAGATTTATTAATTTTTTTTAAAGTTTTTATTTTTAATAAAATATTTTTGTTTGTCTAATTAATTGCTTTTTTAAAATTTAAAACTTTAAAAAATATTAGTATAGAAATGGATGGGTGGAGAGAATTTTAATACTTAACCAGACCTTCGAAAATTCATCAAATCCATTCTCAATTTGAAAAACTCTCCCTTAAAAAACTATAGGAATCTACAAATATAATTTATAGAGCAGTCCGTGACCGAAAACTTTCCTAGCTTCAAGAGTCTCGGGCGGCTCGTAATTTATATCCCAAAACAATTTTTCAGAAAATATTTTAAATTTAAAATTTCTTTACCAAAATATATTAATTACAATTAAATAAAGTGTAAAATGAGTGTGAGTAAATAAAATGGCCAATATATGGGACGGAATGAAAATAAATAAAAATAAATTAATGGGCGTGTTTTCAATTAATTTTTTGAGCTTTAAATTTTTTAGTCATCTTTTTAGTGTTCGCCTTTTTGTTTGGTTTTTTAGAAGCAGCAAGGACCTTCAGCGAAGACTTTGCATTTTTTGTTTTTTCTGTTCCGCCTCCAATTTGTTGTTGTTGATCTTTTAATTGTTCCTCATCATCATTTTTGTCGTCGTCCTTTTGTGGGAAAAATATTTTTAGATTAAAATTAAATTTTGTTTGATTATTTAAAGGATATTGAAGAATAAAGCAAAAATAAAAGAATAAATTAAAAAAAACAAATGAATCATTCCCCCCACCTCTTTACTGTTTTCATTTTCTTCCTCCTTTTCAACATCTTCTTCTTCTTCATCTTCTTCAATAATTATTCTTCGCTTCTTTGCCGGCTTTTGCTCTTTCTTATCTTCAACAATTTCTTTATTTCCTTTGTTGTTTTTTTCAACTTTTTCAACATTTACAGGAATTGGTGCGAAGAATGCATCTATACGACCTTGCTGGGCAGTTCGTCGACTTTTTTTTAAACGGTCAAGGCCAGAACGGATTCTATCCTCACTCAAAGTTTAAAAAATTGAAAGAATGTTTGTAAAAACAATTTAATTATTTTTTTAAATTTATTTTCTCAGATAAAAAAAATAAAGGCAAATATCAATTTAAAATATGCCTATTATCATCATTAGACGTGTAAATAAAAAAATCCTTATAAAAAATTGACGATTTCCCCCAATTAATTTATTATTTAAGAAAAACTTAAATACGTAAAAGGAAATTCCTTTAAATAAAAAATAACTGTTTAAGAATTTAAAGGAAAGATTAATTAATTGGGCGTAAATTAATAATTTAAATTGTTAATAAATAATAAATGCGTCATTAAATTGAGCTTATTAAATTTAAATAATTTTTAAAATAGTTTTAAATAATAAATTAATTGGGGGAAAGCGTCAATTTTTATATGGATTTTTTTATTGATTCGTCTAATAATGATAATCAAAAAATTTGTTTAATATTAATTACTAAAAAATTTTAAAAATAAATCCCCTTAGTTTTATGAGTTATTTAAACGTTCATTTAAAAATTAAAATGTACCTAAAGCCTTTCTGTCCACACATATAATCAATAATTTCCTGTACTTTTGGTTCTGCCCACTTCAACTTTAAAAAGAAAATATTTCTAAAAATTATTTAAAATAGGTAAACCTCAAATTTATTTCCGTCCTCTACATTTGGCTGCAAAAAAAGACTTCTTGCTTCTTTGTACTTCCATCCTGTTGGGGGTGGAAATTTCTGAAATAAAAATTCTGAAAATTGAAAAAAGATTCTCAAACTTTATGGTCAATATTTTGAAGAATTTCCTCAATAGATCCATATTGTTTAATTAATTCCACTGATTTTTTGGGACCAATTCCTTTGATATTTCCACAATAATCACAACCAAGCAGAATACAGAGATCAATAAACTGGTCATATGTTATGCCCAAACCTTGCAAAACCTTTTCCAAAGAAAATTCCTAAATTTTTTTGGAAATATTTATATTAATCACTCAATTATTTAAAAAAAGGTAATTAATTCTTCGTACTATAATTCTCTTCAGTATTTAAAAATTTAAAAAATAAACCAACTTTTATAGGCATCTTTTTTGCTTCACTAAAAGTCATATGTCGAACAAGAATTTCAGAACCAAACGTTAATGCATCCATATCTTCTGTTGCAGTAGCATAAACAATACCTTTACGAACAAGCTCTGCACATTGAGCTTCCGCTTCACAAGGAGCTTCAACAACTGGAACGCCCATTAAATTGAGTAATTTTTTGCAATCATCTGTATGTTCACTAGTTACCTTTAAAATAAGTAATTAGAAATTTTATTTAAATTATAATTTAACGTTTTCTATTACATTTTTATTTGACTTTTTGGCACTACTGAAGAAAAAGGTGCAACTTCTGCAGACTTTTTTTCCGACTTTTTTTCCAAATTTTAATTTTGTTATTTTTCTTAACACTGTTATTTATGTTTTGTGTTTATTCGAATAAATAAACAGGACTTTTCACGTATAAAACAGTAAAATTGTCATTTTTAAAGTTTTAAACCTTTATTTCTGGAAATTTTTACCTTAACCAAACGTCGATTATATTTATCCATAGCTTCTGTATCCCCCTTTTCTGTTGCTTCCGCTAATTGTTGCGTTGCTTCAGCACGTTTTTCTGAACGTTTATCTAATTCATCAGATTTAAGTTCTGGAGGTTTTCCATCAAAAACATAAACTGGCTTTACACCATTTTCCATCATTCGAATTGTTCGGTAAAATAATCCATTTAAATGGCTAAAAAAATATTTTTTAATTTAAAAATATATTATTTATTTACCTAGTTGTTTCTCCATCAGCTGAAGTAAGAACAGCTCCATCTTGTCTAACTGCAATTAAAAATTGATATAAACTCATTGAAGCATCAATAGCAATTTTACGCCCAAAATAAGCTTTCATTTCCGCTGTTTTTAAAGCTTTAGGGCAATGATCAGCAATTACTTTTGCCAAGTCTTTTATTCCCATCCTTTTAAAGTTTATAAGTTTTTATTCAGTTACTGAAAAAACAAAAGAATAAAGAATAAAAATTAATACAAAGAAGCCAGAGCTTCGATTTTTTATGAAAAGTGACAAAATTAAGAGAAGATGAAAGGATTGTCATGACTGTTTTGTCGCGAAGTTGTTAATGAGTGGCTGCTTTTTTGTCAATGAGTGCCCTTTTTCTGGAGATTTCATTTCCGTTTTCCGGTTTTTTCCATAATTGCGGGATCTAGTTCATACTGAGCCGAAAAACGAATAAAACCCTGTATTCTCGCATATCAAAAGTATTTTATCAGTTCGGTCGGATCTCGCCATAACCCATTAATAATTCAAGTTTATTTTGGTGAGTGTATGTACATTTCTAGCTGCGTAGTTGACGAATAGGCAGACAAAGCCGTACATGATTGAAATTTTTATTAATTTTCGTTTATTTATTTTTTATTTTCCTTTTTTCAGATTTAAAGTTTATTTTATTAGCAACTTTTTCTTTGAAGACACAAATGTCAGAGGTTTGGTTAATAAAATATTTTGATTACTAAATTAACAACAAAATTTTTTATAGAAAAAATATGAAGAAGGCGTCGATCCAGTCACATTTTTTCGCGAGCAATGTGCACTTGAAAAGAAAGCAATTAATTTGAAGGAAATACTCGAAACTTGTAATGAACGTGTCCGAGCCAATCCTGATTCTGGGGAATCTTGCCATATGGTATTTTAATTATATAAATTGCTGAATATTTTATCCAATCTAAACAAAGATATTCTTTATTAAAATATAAAAATTAATTCAAAGGAAATGACCGACTATGTTCACTTTCTCGATCATTGTGCAATGCCTAAAGCTTTCAAACATTTGAAATGAAAGATAAAGAGGACAAATACAATAAATGTTTTAGGATTCCACAAATTTGGTGTTAGTTATTTTTAAATTTGTTTTATTAAAATTTTAAATAAAAGCGGTCTTTAACTCGAATAGAATTCTCTTTAAAGAAATTTTTAAAAAATTATTTGCGCCTCAATTTCTTAATTCTAAAAAATCGGAATAAAGTTGGGGGTAATGTTATTTATTGTTAATACCTGGACACTTATCGTTTGTCCACAGAACTTTTTTGCGTACTGATTTTCGAACTCATAATGGTCAATAATTCATTTTCTTGTATATGTGAATTTTGTGTTAGTAATTAATCCCGTCTTAATTTATCTCTAAGAAGAGAAGGGAATCCCCTGATAATTATGAGCCGCAAAAAATTTGGGGTGATATTAATTACTAATTCCCGTAGAAATTAAAATTTGTGTACGAATATCTAAAAAATGCGAATTCCGATAAACATTAGTTTCCCTATTTACTTTTACTTTTAGAGAAATTTCCATCTAAAATTGTTTTAAACTTCACATTTTTCCAATTCGTAAACAATTAAATCTTATTTAAAGATTCCGTTTTCTTTTTACTTTAAAAATTGCCTTTACGTTGATTCTTATCTCTTCCTCTTACGTAATTGTTTTTTTTTTCGGGTGTTCATATCTTATCTTAAGAATAGAATTAAAATTACAAATATTTTTGTTTAGTATATAGTTTTCCCAATCACTTGACCATTAAAATTAATTTAGCCAGAAATTTAACAAAATTACACAAAAACTATTTTAAGAAAGGCCCTAACTTAAATAAATAATGACTCGTAGTATAAATATTTTTATTATTTTATTTATTTCATTAATTATTGGAATATGCACTGAGGCAAAAATCCGTAAACAATTTGTTGACTCTCCACAGGAACCACAGGCTAAATCGGTTGATGTAAATTTACATGGCACAGAACAAATAAAAATTCAGAAGCCAAAAAGTTTGAAAGCAATGGTAGATTATGGACTTTGCAAACAAGAATGTAAAAGAAAACGAGACCAAGAATCTACTGGACAGGTATTGTGTAAGAATGGGGAAGTCGGGGGTTTCTAAAAAATTATTTAATTCACTTATTAAAGTATGCGCAATGGCTTAGGGAGGAGCTTAAATTTGCCGAAGAACAATTGCGAGCTCAAGAAAATCAACAACCTTGAGGCGCAATGTATAAATTTGAGTTATCTCGAAAATTTCAAATTTAATTTAACATTTAATTTTTACTCAAAGATAAAATTTTGACTATATATTTTTAAATAGTTCGGGTTGTCTCATGTCAGTTAATTTCTTACTCTAACATATTAGAGATATGATGCAACTCGTATGGCCTCTGTTGTATTTTGTAAGCTAAAAACACTCATCGCATAAGACGCAGTTTGTAAAAACATTTTTCAGACAAAAATAACAAAATCGTAAAAAATAAACTATTTTTCATCACTTTTTCTATCAATTTTTGTAATCGAATAACCTGCCATTTCAAGAATTTTCTGTCTCTCCTCAACTTCTTTTTTCCTATTTTTTTCTAAAAACTCTTTTGCTGGCCCTACAATGTAATGATGTTGATAATCAGCGCAAAGTTTATTCAAGATCGGGAGTTCCTCGCTGCTTGGCAATCCAAAGCGTTTGTCGATATAATCATCCTTCTCGACTGAATAAAGCTCCTCAAGGCTCATCAATGTCGACCAATGGGGGAACTTTTTCCTTCCGCTTGGCTCCACATCTACTCTCCAATCCTTATTAGCTCTGAAAGTTAAAAAAAAATTAAATTAACCAAAAACAACCAACTTTTCCATTGTTTCTTTGACATATTCCAAGGGATCGAAGCGCTCAAACTCGACAAGCATTTCGCGCATTCGGCCGCGAAAAAGATCTTCAGACTAAAACAAACTTTATTAGAACATCAATTATTAGGAATTTAAAGTTCATATAAACGAAAACAAATTCAATTACCCTTTGCTTTTTCTGAGCCTGCCTCTTCTTAATTTGCCACCAATCGCGTTTAAGTCTTTTAAGATATTTGTGCTTGTTCATTTTATGTCTTCGAATTTTCATTATTAACGGCTGGCTAGTGGTAGTTGCTACAGAAATTGTAACAGATTCTCGAGGAGCGATAAAAGGAATAATTTGGCGCTTCAAGAAGGTAAACATTTCTGAAAATTTTTAAAGGAATAGCTACAAGCCTGAAAATATTAATTTATTTTGTTTAATAAAATAGAATTAAGATATTTAGAAAATAAAAACTAATTAATAGAAACTAATATAAAAAATAAAATTTATTTAAAAATAACAATTTGAGTTTTATTTAATTGACAAGTAAAGGCTTTTGTGATTTAAGGTCAATTTAGATGATGGCACTTTGTAATGGAATGTTATGTTAACAAATAATAATTAAATATAGAAATTTGAATAAATTATTTTAAAAATCACTAGGCTGAAAAAGTCTCTAACAATAAGAATCACATCTCATATCTTTTGAACAAGAATAGCAGTTGCTTCCCCTCCTCCATTACAAATTGCTGCAATTCCATATTCACCAGCTGTCAATTGATGTAATAAAGTGACTACAATTCTCGCTCCCGAACAACCTAAAAGAAAAATAATTAAAAGAAAAACTAAAAACAGATTTTGAGTGTCTTTTAATTATTTTCTACCAATTGGATGTCCCAAGGCAACGGCCCCTCCGCGTGCATTTACTTTTGACGGATCCAAGTCCAACGATTGAATAAAAGCCATAGCAGTAACAGAAAAAGCTTCATTAACTTCCCAACGAGCAATTTCATCTTTTGACATGTTTGATTGTTTAAGTAACTTTAAATTTTAAACTTGAAATTTATATCAGAAAAAGTATACTAATTTAACGGCATCAACTGGGGCGATAGTAAAATCAATAGGTAATCGAGCAGATTCCGCAAAAGACACAATTTTAGCAATAGGCTTTAGAGTGCTATTTTGTGTAAGACCAATTTTCGATGCAAGAACAATTGCTGCAGCGCCATCATTCTGAATCAGTTAATTTTTTAAAAATTGTAGATTTATAATTATTTACAAGAGTTGAAGCATTTGCAGCAGTAATTGTCCCAGTTCCATCTTTTAAAAAAGCGGGGGGCAATATAGAAACCTTTTCCTTAATCAATCGTTTATACTCCTCATCCTCTTTTATAACCAAATCAGGCGATCCTTTTCGTTGACGAACATTAACCTCTACAACTTCAGCAGAAAATTCCCTATTCGTCCAAGCTTTCTCGGCCCGTTCATAAGATTTAAGAGCATAATTATCCTGATCTTCACGTGTAAATCCATAATCCTTAGCAGTTTTCTCAGCGCAAAGTCCCATCGGTTGATTTAAAAGGGCGTCACAAATTCCGTCTCGTTGAATGCCGTCCTAATAATTTTAAATATTTTAAAATTATTTATACATCACTGTTATACTCACCACCAACTTAACATCACCATATCCATTCTCCCCTCTAGCAAGATAAAAAGGAGTCTGGCTCATGCTTTCAACACCAACAACAAGGACAACATCACGCGTACCAAGCATTAATGACTGAGTAGCCAAATGCATGGCCTTGAGGCTTGATGAGCAGACTTTGTTCACTGTAAAAGCATTTCGATATTCTGGAACACCTGAATAGAAAAACGAAAATAAAAAAATTTTTATTAAGTTATCAAAAAATTAGTTAAGTATTTAGTCTTATTCAAAACATACAAATTAAAATAAAAATTACACAACCGAAAATTCCATCAAAAATACCTGATTTCAAGGCAATTTGTCGTGAAACATTTTGGCCAACACCAGCAGTCAAAACAGAGCCGGTGATTACCTCTTCTATCTACAATTGAAAAAACTTTTTAATCTAAACTAATTTAATAAAATTACAATGTCTGAATTAATATTTGCTCTCTTTATTGCAGCACAGGATGCAATACTGCCTAACTCGATAGAACTCAGTGTAGAAAATGAAGAACGGAAGGAGGCAATTGGTGTGCGGACTGCAGAAACGATGAAAACCTCCTGGATTTTTCCAATTTTAGCATAATCAAAAGAAAAAAACCTGAAGATTTTGAGCAATCATTTGGTTAAATAATTAAAAATTTAATTTTATTTTAATTCAGAAAGAATGATTGGGCTTTTCTTTACCAGTTTTATCATTTCACCTGAAAAAATGGCGTGATATTTTTTGATTTACTAGTATGTGTAAATGCACAATTACAATTTTATTACAAATCAAAACATCATGAGCAATGCTGATGGTTTTAAAATGTACGATTTTCTATTTGGATATTTTGTTCATTGATATTCTAACTGTCACATTTTGACAAAAAGACAAAATGCCATAAAATATAAATTTTTTAAAAGATTAATTTTTTTCCTTGAAAACCTTAATTTTTTTCATTCGCATTTTGGCACAGCAGCTCAAAATAGGAAAGAGTAACTAAAGGGTTTCAATTCAGTATTGTGGTTTGGTTGGGCTAATTAGGGGCGCAGAAAATAAGAGCTATGCGGATCAAATATTTGAGGGATAGGACGCGATAAAAGGAACGAGGAAATTAATTTTGCGGAAGCGGCTTAAGGTACCATGTTGAGCTGCTGTGTCTTGGCTTTTATTAGGTGATTGATTGACTGTAAATAATGGTGGAACATACTGGAACGAGTGCTTCCTCCGGTTTTTTACGGACAAAAATTTCATTGAAAGGTAATCAATCACAACTCTCACTTGTTTCACCATTTTATGGAATGAAACCAGAACTTCCCCGTAAGTTAAATTTATTTTTAAACTCGCAAAGAATTATTTTTTAGCTCCTAGTCAGCTTCTTGGAAGTGAAGATTTAATTTCACTTCTTGACTTAAATGGTTCTTATAATCGTTATTGTGGACCTAAAAAACCTAAAGAAGATCTCGCTTCTTTTTTGCCTCATGTTTGTGGTGCAACTCAGATTAATAAAAAAGCTGATGCATCGTGGTTAGTTTTTAAATTATTAAAAAATTCAGAAAATATTTTATGCTAAATAAGTTCTCTTCGGCAATTAATCGAGAAGCCTCCTGTTATGGGTAAAGAAATAAATAATCTTACTGCTGGTCAAATGAATGGATTCAAACTTGCTCCAGGTTTAACTTTATAATTTATTTTCTCTTAGCAATATTGGAATCTTTTTTGAATTTTGTGTTATTCTATTTTGTAAAATTTAGTTCAAAGAAATTCATTAATTTTTTCTTTAATTTTCTAAAGGTCCAGTGCCAGATGGATATCGATACTTTGACCTAACAAATATTCCCATTGAATTGGCTACTACTAGCGTCATTCAACAGCAGCAACAATCCGTTATCGACCCTAATTTGCAAAAAGATAATGGAACTGATATTCGGTATGGAACTCGTGTAAAGCGCTCACTTGATGAATTGGATGGTTTGTCTTTTGGTACTACCGGTTATCTGCTCGTATTTTCCTTTCTCATAGGGAGTAAAAATGATCATAACTTGGTTCCCCTATGGTTTTTCGATTTTTAAGGACCTATATCTTGGCTCTTAGAATTTCCGCAGATAGGGAGTGGTCTCGCCGAGACAAATCGAATGGATAAATTTGAAGGGTTTTGAGCGGGCCACCGGCTAAAGTACAGCCTTTGGTCTATTTACGCTCGTATTTCGTAGCAAGTGCGACTCCGAATTTTAGCACGGCATGTGAAGCACTACTTTTAATTATTTGTAACATTTTTTGAGTATTGAGAAAGGAAGTAAGAAACGCGGTCGGATAATTCAGTAGTACTTTTTTAAGAACCTTTCTAAATTTTAAATTTAAGTTTTAGACGGTGAAAGAAAATTCAAAAAGCATAAAGGAGATGATAAAGAAAAAAGTGAAAAGAAAAAGCGCAAGAAGGACAAAAAGAAGAAGAAAGAGAAGGAACGTGAAAAGGTACAAATTATTTTTTCAGAATTTATTAGTTAAATCAAAAAAATTTCTAGAAGAATGATGAAACAAGGTTGCACGTAAAGAAAGAACCAACAACTTTAGCCTCCTCAGCAGTTACTCCATTCTTTTGACTTATTTTTTTAAATTTATTTTTGTATACATTTTTTAAAAAATGTTGTCAATTGTGCAATTATTTTAACCTTAATTCTTGTTTTAAAGCTTATTATTTTTACAAAATTGAATCACTTTCTTTTTTTTACTTTTTTAAGGTTAAATAAAATCACTTAAATTAACATATAAAAGCGTCGTTTCTACATACCCATTATGTCATTTGATCTTTCACATCTCTGTCAAGATGATTTCAAGTCGTTCAAAGTCTTTAGAAGATCACAATGTTTTGCTAAATTGTTCGAAGCAATTATTCGAAACTTCGGTCGCTGTCAAGTGTTTGGTTGCAAATCAATGGCGCAGCGTAAGCAGAGTACTAAAAGATCTGAAGGAAATATTTCTGCAAATTTTTATTTCGGTGGAAAAACGACAGCAAAATTTTACGGTGAGAGATATGTATCTAACTTTGTAATATAAATCTTTTTTCAAGTTTGTTGATGCCTTGGCAGATGTGACGTTTTTAAACTTGGACAATGCTACACTTTTCTACGAGGTTCATGAAATGTACTTCAGTAAGTTTTGTTTTTTAATATCAACCAAATTCAATTTAAGCTGTAACTATTTTGTTGATAGCCTTGACGCTTGGTGAGATTATTGGTAATCTGTGGACAGAATTCGCTTGGGCACCACAGTTGGCAGTTTACCAGGCATTAACTGTCATTTTGTTGCTTCCGTTACAGTTAAGTGTGGAAAGAATACATGGTTATAATTCTTAAAATTTATATATAATAATGGAAATATTTTAGAAACAATTAAACAGCGTCGTTCGGATTTGTATGTCAAAATTTTCTTTATTGGTTTTTCTATGGGGCGCTTATGTGATTACAATTTAATGCTTAATGCACCAAAGATTATTTGTCCTATGGCTTTTTGTATTTTGGTAATATTTCTTCAAAAATTGATTTGAAAATTTTGATTTTTTAGATTGATAAATTTGGAGTTTTCAAAGATGATGATCTTCGACAAAAACAATCTCGTTGTTCTTCTCCAATTCGTTTCTTTAATAAGCAAGAAGAATCTCGATTGGATTTATTTATTGGACTGGCACTAACTGTTAATGGAATAGTTTGGATACTTTTGTTGTTAACTGCTCGAATTTCCTTCTTCTGTTTTTTTCTTTCGTTTATATGTTGTGGAATTAATCTAAAGGTTCTATTTATTCATTTCCAGGTATTTTAAATAATTATCGAAATTAAAAAGAATATTTTCTTGTTCAAAGTTATTCTATTATGGCCTTAACCAACTTTTGCAAGAAAATTCTACAAATCAGCGACCTATTTGGAGTTTTGGTGCCACTAATCCATGGTTGGCTAATGCTGATCTTGTTTATGTATTTTGTGTGCTTGCATTCGATGTGTTCGTTTCTGTTATTTAATGAATATGTATAGATGAAATGAATAAATAATTAAGTTTAATTGTGTATATGTATGTACATATATTTTTGAAACTGTCGATTATTTTATATTTTTGTATAATAAATTGTATTATAATTATTTTTTTGTAAAATATTTTCATTTGGTTTGTGTTTGAACATTAAGTATCTGAATTTTAAATTTATTCGATTTAATGTATCTAGTAATGAAATCTACAAGCCAAAAATTTGTAAAGCCGGAGGAGTCATTAACGCCGATTTCGACCAAAAAGCGTTATTCTACATCTGTGGAGACAAAAAGACTATCAAAAAATACAAAGAATGTACTTAAAAATGAAAAGACAAATGAAACAATTTCAATACCCCCAATGAGAGATTTGGATGTTTTAGAAAAAAATAGTGGGTTGCTTATTTAAATGTTTTTTTGTTTATTCGTTAACTTGGATAGTCTATAATAATTTTTAAGCGGTTGATCCTGACACCAAACCATTCTACCATGGAAATCCATTTGTTGAAAAACATCGAGGGGTTATGCATTTGCATAAAGAAAATTTGGAAAGGTTTTAAAATAATTTGAAAATTATTAAATCAATTTTAAAGTTCTGAACATCCTCCAATAAATAATTGTTGTATGCTTGTTATGATGGACATTCCTGCGTTTTTTACTTGCCGTGAACTAGTCAGCTTTGTCCGCCCTTCATCTACACATATTTTACTAATGAAAATAGTTCGTGACGAAACAGCTAATAAATATATGGTTACCATAAAATTTAAAACTCCGGTAAAAAATTATTTGTAATATTTTTTAATTATAATTTTATAGGAGTCAGCAACTAAATTTTATGAACAATATAATGGCTTAGAATTTAATTCAATTGAACCGGAAAAATGTTCTCTTCGTTTTGTTGATACAATAGAAGCGGTTTTTTTTAATTTTAAAGTTTTTATTTTCTGATTTAAGGAAGGAGATGGTTCAACAACGTTTACAGGATTACATGTTGATCCTGCATATGGGGAGACACGTACTTGTTCTGTTTGTTTGGAAAGAATGGAAGAGGGAAACAATATGTTATTAATTATTTTATGGTTTATTTTAGATTTAAATAAAATATTTAATATTTTAGTAATCACTCATTTCATGCTAAATGTATTAGTCAATGGGCGGACACAACGTTAGTTTATCCAAAAATATATTTAAATAAAAATATTTTTAGCTGCCCTATCTGTCGTTATACACAAACACCTGAAATTGTTCCTGACCAGAAATGTTTTGGTTAATAAACTTTATTTTATATATTCTATTACCTCATAAAAGATTGTGGACGTACTTCTGACCTTTGGATGTGTCTAATTTGTGGAAATATTGGTTGTGGTCGTTATGCATCGGCACATGCCTATAAGTGATTATTTTTGTATTTTTTTAAATAAAATTTATTAAAGACATTATGAGACTACTTCACATATTTTTACTTTACAAATTGGTGGAAAACTTGTTTGGGATTATGCTGGAGATAATTATGTCCATAGATTAATTGAGAGTTCAACTGATGGTTCTTTTAATTTTTTTAAATTTTAAAATTTATTTTAAAGGAAAACCTGTTGAATATGAGGGAGTTAATAATGATAGTTTTGAAGTAAATTACTTAAATATTTTTTAATTTTATTCTTTATTTTGTTAGAAAGAGAAGGAGAAGATTAGTGCTGTTCAACTTGAATATACTTGTTTGTTAACTAGCCAACTTGAAAATCAAAGACTTTTTTTATGAAGAAAAACTTCGTGAATCTGACGAACGTTTTAATGAATATAGTAGAGAGGCGCAACAAAAAGTATTTAAATTTTTTTAACCAAAGATTTAGAAAATTTGGGTCTGGATTCTTCTTAAATAATACCTATATTGACCAGGAAACTGTAATGGGGCAAAATTCTTTTAATTTTTGTTTATTTCATTACTTTCTATTTTAGATTAATTCGTTGGAAGCTGAATTGAAATCTACTCGAAATGAATTAACTTCTACCAGCGCCGAACTCGTAACACTTTCTAATTCAAAAAAACAACTTGATAAAAAATATTTATCTTCACAAACAAAATGCCAAACATTACAAAATGAACTAGAAGAAGAAAAGCAAATGAGTAAATTACTGAGAATTGATAAAGAACTTCTTTCACGTCAATTAGAAGAAGCTAATCAAAAAAGAAAAATTGAAGTGGGGGCTTTAGAAGAACAAATTCATGATCTTTTGTTACATTTTGAGACTGAAGCAAAAATAAAGGAACAAATTGAAAATGGAGCAGTTAGTAAGGAAGTAAGGAAATTATTATATAAATACTTAGATTTTGAATAATAAAATTTTTAAGGAATTGGAACAAAGTAATGTTGAAGTGAAAGAAGATGTTACCCCCAAAGTTTTATCTAAAAAGAGTCGTCGCCGTAAAAAATAAAAGAATTAAATATTTATAATGTGAAATTCTCTGGCATTCTAATCATTATTTGTATACACAAATTCAAGACCTCAATGTGATTATTCTTTAAAATGTACAAAATAAAGGAATTTTGTAATTTATTGTACATATTTTTTTAAAAATTTTGATTAAACCTATTAGGCAAACTCATAGTCTCTATTAGCGAGAGGCAGTTCGCAATATGTATGCCTTGCATTTGCTGCATTCTGCTCCTTTCTCTCTTCCATTAGTTTCACCATATTTCTCGAAATTTTTTATAAGATTAACCTGATTAAATTATAAAATTTAAGGGAGATTTTGATATCACTAAGTTTCTCAAAGTGTTGAAATCTAATAAAAAATTATCAATTTTGTTGAAGCCCCACAGGCTATTTTTTAGGACTCGGCATTTAGCTTTTTCAATTTTTCAAAGTTTCTTATGAATTTTCCTCTTATTCTTCTAAGATTCACTCATGTTTCTCGAAATTAATTATTAAATGGTTTTGGGTTATTAAAATAGTTTTGGGTTACAGTGATGAGTATGGCTCCGGAGATTAGCTTCCGGAGGGTTCTGGAAGAGCTGGAGCTTTTCAAATCTTGGCTTTTGCTCCATAAAAAGCACCTTTCATTACAATTTATCTTTCTCTCTCTGTTCTCCCATCTTCGGTTTCATTAAGAATAAATAAAAATATTTTCTTAATACTTCAAATGATAAAGATCAGATTTACATTTAGAAATGTCCTCCACGTTTAGATTATTGTCTTGTAATTTCAATCTCCGATTTTTCTTTGTTAACCACCCAATAAGTATTTACAAGAAAAGCTCATTCATTTAATTTTTGAGAATTTATTACAAAATTAAATATCAGTCTAAAATAATGCCTACAGAGGGAGTAAGTCTTATAAAATTATTTTTAATTACTTTTTCTTAAGCGTGAATGTATTTCTGTAAATATTGGACAAGCAGGTGCTCAAATAGGTAATGCTTGTTGGGAACTTTATAATTTAGAACATGGAATTGGAAAAGATGGATTTTTATTAGAAAAAGAAGAAAATGAGGAAATTTTTGAAATTGGGGAGAGAAAGGGAAGAGAAAAATGCCAGGCAAAATAATTAAATTTAATTTAAAATACTCCTAATATTTTTAAAGTATTATAATACTTTTTATACTGAAAGTTCAAATGGAAAGTATGTTCCCCGTGCTATTTTTGTAGATTTAGAGCCAAGTGTAATTGATGAAATACGTGTAGGTCCTTATAGACAATTATTTCATCCAGAACAATTAATTACTGGAAAAGAAGATGCAGCTAATAATTATGCTAGAGGGCATTATACTATTGGTTAAATTAATTGAAAAAATTTTAAATAAATAAAATACATATATTTAAAGGTAAAGAACATATTGATAGAGTTTTAGAACGTATACGTAAACAGGTAAATAAATAATTTGAGTTTATTTAGTATTTATTTAACAAAAAAACCTCCCCGATCTGTTCTTCCAATAATAAAAACCAAAAAAAACTAATTTAATCAAAGATTAAAAAATTTTTTAAAAAATTCTTATTTTTAAAGAAATTAAATAAATATTGAAAAGGGATTAAAAAATATAAATTTAAAAAATTAGAAAATTAAAGATTAATTTAAATCTAAAATTTCAACAAAATTTAAAAAAGGCTGAAAGTTGTTCTGGCCTTCAAGGCTTTCTTGTTTTCCATTCTTTTGGTGGAGGTACCGGGTCTGGATTTAGTGCACTTTTAATGGAACGTTTATCTGTGGAATATGGAAAAAAATCAAAATTAGAATTTTCTGTGTATCCAGCCCCTCAAGTAGCCACAGCTGTAGTTGAACCTTATAATTCTATATTAACAACACATACAACATTAAATCATTCTGATTGTTCTTTTATGGTTGATAATGAAGCTATTTATGATATTTGTAGAAAAAGTTTAGATGTTGAGGTAAAAAATAATTATTTTTTGAGAAATTAAATTGGAGAAATTAAATAGATTATTAGTTTTTTGTCTTTTAAATTAAATCTATGTATATTTTAATTCGAAATTTCTCATATTTTTTACAGAGACCTTCATATAATAACCTTAATAGATTGGTATGTTTTAAATAAAAAAATTTCCTTTATTCTTCTTCCTTTTTGTTAAAATAACTAAAAAATAAAAGAAAAAAAATTAAAAGTTTTTGATTTTTAAAATTATTTCTGGTCCCTTTTGTTAGTTAGCCTTGAATATTCATATTCTGGCTACTTTGAATTTTTTAAAAAAAAATTATTTTAATTCATTACCTAGGTATTTCCTATAAAGTCCCATGTTGCTGTATTTTTCGACTATCCTCGAATAAGGACTTTGTTAGAGAAAATACTGTAACTCATTTTTAATCTTTCCTTTTTCCCTTTTGAATAAATTTTAGTACATATTTTATTTTAACAAAAAGGAATAAAATATAGAAATAATTTTAACAAAAAATATTTTTGTTTTATTTAAAAAAAGATAGCCCAAATTGTTTCTTCAATAACTGCATCCTTACGTTTTGATGGTGCTTTAAATGTTGATTTAACTGAATTTCAAACTAATTTGGTTCCATATCCGCGAATTCATTTTCCTTTAGCCACTTATGCACCTGTAATTTCTGCTGACAAAGTAAAAAATACAAATAAAAATATTTATCTTAAAGAAAGCTAATTAAGAAAATTAATAATTTCTAAGGAAAAAACTTTTGAAAAATCTCTATAGCTTTTACATATTTAACAAGAAAACCCCATTATTTTTTATCACTTTTTTTTCCTAAAAAAGGCTTATCATCAATCTTTATCTGTTGCTGAATGTACACAAATGTGTTTTGAACCAGCTAATCAAATGGTTAAATGTGATCCAAGAAAAGGCAAATATATGGCTGTTTGTTTGCTTTATAGAGGGGATGTTGTTCCAAAAGATGTAAATGCAGCAATTGCTGGAATTAAAACAAAAAGAGGGATTAATTTTGTTGATTGGTGCCCAACGGGTTTTAAAGTTGGAATTAATTATCAGCCACCGACTGTTGTACCTGGCGGTGATTTAGCTAAGGTAAAATAAAGGTCTTTAAAAGTACTATTTTTAATTAAAAGATGGTTTCAATAGTTAAATAGGGTTGGGCGCAAGCAGTTAAATGATGACACAACCCGCGCGGGTTTCGAACTTTTTAGCGCCTAAATCAATAGAAAGCTTATATTAGTCTTCGGCTCAAATTTATAAATTAGAATTCACCTTCAGCACCTTAATTACCCTTAACGCTATAAATAAAAAAGTTTAGTCCTTTGGCGCTTGATGTGTGGAGTATTTGGCTTTGGTCATATTTATGAGTCCAATGAAAATTTTATAAGTTAAATGAAATATTTAAAATTACTTTTAAAAAATATTAAAGGTTCATCGTGCTGTCTGTATGCTTTCAAATACAACAGCAATTGCTGAAGCGTGGGCTCGTTTAAATCATAAATTTGATTTAATGTATTCTAAACGTGCATTTGTTCATTGGTATGTTGGGGAGGGGATGGAAGAAGGAGAATTTTCTGAAGCGAGAGAAGATTTGGCTGCTTTAGAGAAAGATTACGAAGAAGTATTTTTAATGAATAAAATATTTTTTAAAATAGCTTTTAAAGGTTGCTGAATGCTCTGAACCTTTACCTGATGATGAAGAATATTAAAAAATATAATACTTCTTGTGAAATTTTGTGATTATTAAAAATAGTAATACATACTAGAGACCTTGCCGTAGTACTGACGGCATTCTTCGGTATTCCGTACAATAACCTATAGAAGTTGGTAATATGGTAAAATTTTGAAATTGATTGGTATTTTCGGTATTACCAAGCGGAATTCGGTACGGTACAAAATTCCGGTCTCTAATACATACATACATTAATTTTTTATATTTTATTATAAAAATGGGAAATAATCACGTAAATGATTTTAACAAATTTTTAAGTTTTAAAATCATTTTTTAAAAACTCGTCAACGAGTAATTTGGTCGCGGTTGTCGGAAAACTAATAAATTCTTGGATCTAAAAAAAATAAACCACAAAACAAAAGATTTATTTACAAATTTATTTTACAAACAATTATACAGAAAATGAACTACATGAAATACAAATTTGGAACAAACACAAAGGAAAACAGTAGGAAAACATTATAACAATTTGTGAGAGGGAATATCACTATCCTATGAGTTTTTACAGCTTGGTCCATATTATTCGTCGAACTTCTGTCCTGGCTTCGGTTTGCGGCAGAGCACGAGGAACCTGTGCACAGCGGGCCCTTCGAATCGCTCGTCCTTGCCTGCGACCACAGCCGATGCACGCTCATTGCGAATGTCAGCCTTGCCAAGTGCCTCCTTGCCATTTGGAAGAGTTAGCAGGCATGGCGAGATGTTTCCTGAATTGATGCAAGATTTATTTTTAAATTATCAAATGTAAATGCAAAACACACCTTTCACATGATCGACGTGAACAGGATAGAAGACTCGGGCGTTCTTGTCGAAGACAGCTGCATCACTCCACGGCCGCCATTGATAGTCGTAGCCACGGACACGTTCTGGGAGGTCGACCAGAACCTGAATGGAGCCGATGTTGTCGACGAAGGCCTTCCCATTCCAGCCGAATGCAGCAGCGACCTATGAAAAAAATTAAACTAGTTAAAACGGTAAAATATAATGGAGTGCTGTCACCTTGCCATTGTTGTTCCAGATCCGTCCCATTACTGGCTCACCATGCACATACCACAGGGCTACATGCTGCTCACTAGAATCTCCTGGTGCCGCACTCAACGTCTTGTCGCCTGCTCTGATCGTCTTGTAGGTTGGCCATGCGTCTCCCATCCTGATGTCTGCCCACTCATTCAGCATTATGAGTGGTGGTGGTACTGGTGGCGGAGGAGCTTTGAAGCAGATGTTGCACACGCATCCCAACGGTCCTCCTTTCAAGTTCCTACAAATTAAAATGTCAGGTAAATCAGAATGTTAAAAAGAGCAAGATCTCACCTCATTATGATCTTCATTTCCGAGAGTGGCTTCCCTACAATGCATTCCGCCTTCCCTCCCTGTGAGAAGGCGGCTTCCTCCGTCTTCATGTTCAAGTAGCCGAGCAGTGTACCACCGGTCCTCCCCTCCCAGAGAATCGGCATCGAGTCGCCGCATCGAACCAGCTGTCGTTCGTCGGTTTTCTCGAAACGGTCCTTGTATTTGATCCACTCGTACCAGTAGCCGAGCGTGTTGTGGTCACCCTTGTACTGCAGCACCTGTTAAATTTAATATTACGTATGATTTTTGTTAAAAAGATTGTCAAAATTAACTCACTTGAATCATGCCGCCGAGGTCTTCCTTTCCCGTGAGCTCCGCCTTGCCATACGGGAACGAAGCCTGTACAACGCCACCATCGTTCCATGCATAGCCGTGCACTGGCTTTCCGTTCTTGTACCAAAGCGCGACGTACATGTTCTGCTGGCCCAGCACTTTGACAGGATTGTCCGGAAATGGTGCGCCGATCGGATTGAACGCCCAAGTGTCCTCCTTCGGGGCTGGATTCGGCATTGCGTTGACGTGAAGGTGAACGAAGAGTAGCTGTTGGTGGTGAGGAATACAAGTTGCTGTTGACGGTGACGAATATGAAAAACGAGCTGCTTTTATAGTAAAATTATATCAAAATAAACAACCTCAGAATTTTACTATAAAAGCAGCTCGTTTTTCATATTCGTCACCGTCAGCAGCAACTTGTATTCCTCACCACCAACAGCTACTCTTCGTCACTTCACGTCAACGCAATGCCGAATCCAGCCCCGAAGGAGGACACTTGGGCGTTCAATCCGATCGGCGCACCATTTCCGGACAATCCTGTCAAAGTGCTGGGCCAGCAGAACATGTACGTCGCGCTTTGGTACAAGAACGGAAAGCCAGTGCACGGCTATGCATGGAACGATGGTGGCGTTGTACAGGCTTCGTTCCCGTATGGCAAGGCGGAGCTCACGGGAAAGGAAGACCTCGGCGGCATGATTCAAGTGAGTTAATTTTGACAATCTTTTTAACAAAAATCATACGTAATATTAAATTTAACAGGTGCTGCAGTACAAGGGTGACCACAACACGCTCGGCTACTGGTACGAGTGGATCAAATACAAGGACCGTTTCGAGAAAACCGACGAACGACAGCTGGTTCGATGCGGCGACTCGATGCCGATTCTCTGGGAGGGGAGGACCGGTGGTACACTGCTCGGCTACTTGAACATGAAGACGGAGGAAGCCGCCTTCTCACAGGGAGGGAAGGCGGAATGCATTGTAGGGAAGCCACTCTCGGAAATGAAGATCATAATGAGGTGAGATCTTGCTCTTTTTAACATTCTGATTTACCTGACATTTTAATTTGTAGGAACTTGAAAGGAGGACCGTTGGGATGCGTGTGCAACATCTGCTTCAAAGCTCCTCCGCCACCAGTACCACCACCACTCATAATGCTGAATGAGTGGGCAGACATCAGGATGGGAGACGCATGGCCAACCTACAAGACGATCAGAGCAGGCGACAAGACGTTGAGTGCGGCACCAGGAGATTCTAGTGAGCAGCATGTAGCCCTGTGGTATGTGCATGGTGAGCCAGTAATGGGACGGATCTGGAACAACAATGGCAAGGTGACAGCACTCCATTATATTTTACCGTTTTAACTAGTTTAATTTTTTTCATAGGTCGCTGCTGCATTCGGCTGGAATGGGAAGGCCTTCGTCGACAACATCGGCTCCATTCAGGTTCTGGTCGACCTCCCAGAACGTGTCCGTGGCTACGACTATCAATGGCGGCCGTGGAGTGATGCAGCTGTCTTCGACAAGAACGCCCGAGTCTTCTATCCTGTTCACGTCGATCATGTGAAAGGTGTGTTTTGCATTTACATTTGATAATTTAAAAATAAATCTTGCATCAATTCAGGAAACATCTCGCCATGCCTGCTAACTCTTCCAAATGGCAAGGAGGCACTTGGCAAGGCTGACATTCGCAATGAGCGTGCATCGGCTGTGGTCGCAGGCAAGGACGAGCGATTCGAAGGGCCCGCTGTGCACAGGTTCCTCGTGCTCTGCCGCAAACCGAAGCCAGGACAGAAGTTCGACGAATAATATGGACCAAGCTGTAAAAACTCATAGGATAGTGATATTCCCTCTCACAAATTGTTATAATGTTTTCCTACTGTTTTCCTTTGTGTTTGTTCCAAATTTGTATTTCATGTAGTTCATTTTCTGTATAATTGTTTGTAAAATAAATTTGTAAATAAATCTTTTGTTTTGTGGTTTATTTTTTTAGATCCAAGAATTTATTAGTTTTCCGACTTCCTAAGTATTTTTGCAATTGTTTATTGTTTTGAATATCTAGTAGTGGTCTAGATTTATTAAATTTGTAGTGTTATTAAGTCGGTTTCTCATCTTACCCTAGTAAAGCAAAAATTGATCCCCTAATTATATTTGGTTTAATTATTATAATACATAACATAATTGAAGGTTTAGGATTTTGTGCCGGCAATTGAAATATATTTGAGAACTTTAACACAGATTTCTTCAATAATAATCACACCAAGCTTTCAACAAAATCATATGTACGTTTACCATTAATTCCAAAAATTAGAATTATTTCTCATTTCCATAGCAAGTCCAAATTTCCATAGCAAGTCCAAAATATTAAAAATATGATAAAATTTTGAAAACCCTAAATGACTACAAATTTCCCAAATTACAATTAGCTAAAATGTGGACGAAATCTATAATTTCGAGAAAATAACAAAATATTACCGAAAATAAGGAAAATTGTTTAATTTGGATAAAATATTTTTAAAAAATGGATTAAGTATTGAAATTATCTACTTTAAGGCCACTTTATTTTAACTGCTTATATTAAATACTTCGATAGATGGAGCTAAAATATCTAATATTTTATGCAAATACTTAAATTTCTAATTTTAATAGACTTGAAGTAAATATACTTATTTTCTTGGTTATAAATTAAAATTAAAAATTTATTAAACTTTTTTTTCTTTTCTTTCAATTATATAATTTGCCCTAATTTTCTTTAATTGGAAACAACCTTCCCCAATTCTAGTTGCGCGACAAAATTCTTTTTTTTTTCAAATAAAAAGCCAGTCAAGGGCCAAATAAATGGATATTAAAAAAGAAGGAAAAAATAAATATAAAAATTAACTACAAATACTTTGGGATATAATTTAGTTTTTTTTTTCTTTTATGTGAGACAGGTCTTTTGAAATGGAAGAAAAAATAATATATAAATGGGATTATTTACTAAATAAAAGGAAATATAAAGGTGAGAATAAGAAAAGAATATTTGGGCCTTCTATTTTTTAGCCTTAGGGCCGATCCACTTCACGCAGTGGGACAACATCTTTTCCCAAAACAACAAAATAAAATGGCCTTAAAGTAGAACAGGTTGTTTTTTATTCTTATTTAAGCTAGTTTGTGTTTTTGTCCTTTCGAAAATTGTTTTTTGGAGTAATTTAAAAGTACAAAAAAGAGGGGAGGGGAGAGGAGGAAAAGCGCAAAAATAAATATATAGCCTAAGGCTATAATATAATTTTCAATTAGTTTTGATCCACAACACTCTTTGTGGCCTAATGCCCCAGTTCATTAATTGTTGACTGACATTTCTTTCAAAAAAATATTTTTAAAAATAAAAATGGAATTAATATATCCATTAAATATTCAACAACAACAACAATCGTTTCCAAATAATTATAAAAATTTAGAAGAATATTTAATGATTAATAAAAATAATTTAAATTCTCTAGAATTAAATAATCAAATAAATTATTTTCAAAAATTATCGTCTACTAATTTATTTATTCCACAATGCCCCCCAACTTTAATACAACAACAAATATTGGAAATTAATGAAAATAATATTAGAAAAATGTTTTGGGAATTTTTACAAAATAAAGTTTAAATTTTGATTTAAAAAAATTATTTTTTAGGAAAATTTTGAAAAAAATATATATGTATAAGATTAGTAATAAGTATTTAGTTGTAATTTAAATATTTTTATTTGTTTTGAATAAATTAAAAAAATAAATTTTAATTTAAAGAACAATTCAATTCAAAATATTACCAACAATAACAACAATTTATTATCACCCCCAAATATTTACCAACAACAATTACAATCATTTTTAAATAATAAACAAATGATAACAAATACTAATAATTTTCAAATAATAAATAATTATTTAAATAATAATTCTTCTCAAAATTTACTAAATAATCAATTAGAATCTTTATGTAAATTTAAAAGAATAATTATTTAAAAAAAAATTATTTTTATTTATTTAGCAAGAAATAAACTTGGTCGTTCATATAATCCAGGAAGACCTTTAGTTTGTTATAATTTTTTGTTAAATTGAAAAAAAAATTTTTTAAAGGGAATATTAGAAAGACAAAGAATTTTGGATTTATATCAACGTGGATTAAAAATTAGTCATATTGCCAAAATTATTGGAGTTACACATTGTTAGAGATTATTTTTTTAATATTTAAAGAATATTCTCCAAAAATTATTTTAAATGGTGATCGGAATTTTGCCCCCTTCCCTCGTATTTTGTACAGTAATACCGTCAACTTAAAAAGTTAATAGGTCGGTATCATGTACAGCACTACAGATATATATCGGAAAACACCGTTCGGTAGTACAGTGCCACCCGATCACTACCTTTAAATATGTAAATTTAAACCATTTGGTTTAAACAAAAAAAAAGAATTATTTTTAAATTTAAAGCTTGTGTTTCAAAAATAATGACTCGTTATCGCCGTACTGGTTCAATACATCCTCGTTCATCACAACTTTTTTCTACTCCTACAACAAATACCTCAAATAAAAAAGAAATATTTAAATATTCAATTCCTTCCGCATTTAAAAAAATTCCTTCTAAAGAAGAAATTAGTATAAATAATTGTTGTTTTAATAAAGAAATTGATAATAGTAAACAGGAAGAGAAACAATTAATTATTAAACAACAAAAACATTATTTAATAGAAAAGTTTTTTTTAAATTTAATTTTAAAATAATTTTCTTAATTTTTTAGGCTTATTGAATGAGAAATGGACAATTTCATTTAATACAAAATTTTTATAATTTTCCTTTTAATAATAATTTTTAAAAATAATCACAATTTATTTAATTTTTATTCTAAAAATAAATAAATATATGGTCACAACTTTAGAAAAAATGTAAATTATCTAATGAAAAAATGTTTGTATATAATTTAAATATTTTAAAAGATTAAAAATAAGTCTAGCCTATTTTTGTTTAATACCTAGAAAAAAAGTTTAAAAATATTTTTGGGGCTTTCAAGCTTTGAATTTTAAATTTAAAGAAAAAATAAAATCTGAAAAGAACAACAAAAAATGAATTAAATAGCAAATTAAAAATTTATATAAATAAAAAATAATTTATATCAACATTTTATATATAAAAATAAATTTTGGAAAAAAAATTTTATATTTAACAAAAACCATGAATAGAGGAGAATTGAATATTTGGGAAGGAGAACAGAAATGTTTCGAAATAAAAGTTGATTGACCTCTCCCTCCCCCGGATATCATATCAATCTTCACTACAGGCAGTACTTAAATATCCAAATCGAAATTTCGAAACATTTCTGGAAAAGGAATTTTAAATATTTAAAACAAAAAAAAATAAAAAATGAATGCGCAATGTATGAATCTTTGATGGACGAAAGCCGTATGAGAAACATGGAAAGAGGTGAAATTGCAAACAAAAAAAAGAGAATTTGACGTTGTCATTAAATATATTGAGAATCATCTCTGAAAGAAATTAAAAAAACAATTTTTAAAAATTTTTAAATTAAAAAAAACTTACAGAAGGAAAACAACTAAATTGTTGTTGTTGCTGCATTAATTGTAATTGTTGTGTCCGGTGATGTAAATTTCGACCTAAAATTGAGCGAACATCAGAAGTTAATCTTAAAGCATCCAAAAAAGGTAAAATATTTAAGAGACAAGTATCAGACGGATCACTGAACCAGGATTTTATTGGAATGGCATTTTCTAAAAATTAAAAGAGAATTTTAAATTTTTAATAAAACTAACGAGTATAGTTCCGATAAGCAGCTGGAGAATTGTCCAAAATAAATATTGAAGAAAGGTCTGGATGAACAGCAGCCAAATCCTTTGTGTACCCGCTGAGAAAATATTTTAGAAATTATTTAAATTAAAAAAAACTTGTAATCCTGGGTGCAATGTTGCCGAAAATATCGCCTTTGTAGAATTCCACGTCCTTGATCTAATTTATCAGCAACAGAAGCCCCATAAATTTCCATTGAAGCAGTGAATATAACAAGGTCAAACCAACAGCTAACAACTGACAGAAAAAATTCAACATGCGGCCGAAGATGGACAAAGAATCTAACCGGTTGATTGTCAATAGTTACCTTAAATGAGAGAGAAATTTTTTTAAATTAAAAGAAAAGTAAAAAACCCTTATAATAAAATCTGGAGGTGTCCCAGGTTTAACTGTCGACCGGAGAAGTCCATCATGATGTGAATGAATTAATGTTTCATCCAAATCGAGCACCATTATTTTACGCCGAACAAAAGCTAAAAATAATTATAAAAATATAAAAATAAAAAATTTACAAAGTCTTTGTGCAGTTAATGGTGAAAGGGGAATAACGCTATATTTAACAAATTGTTGCTTTTTAACCTAAAAATATTTTAAAAAATAATTTTTAAATTAAAAACCTTTCTGTATTGTTTTTTAACAAATAACATTGTAAAATTGTAGACATTAAATATCCAAATAAAAATTGCATGAAATGAACTTTTAATAATCCGCAAAACAAAATTATCACGTGTTTGTGGTGGCAAAAATTGTAGACGCTTAGGCGTTCCGTTCATTATTATAGTAAATTCTAATAAAACTTTATTACGAAATAAAAACATTATTGAAATGAGGGGGAGGGGGAAAGGACAGTTCATAATTCATCGGACATTTCATCATTTCAATAACTGACCTACTAATTGTTTATTAGGTCCTCCAATTTATTTTTCCTAAATTGTTAGAAACACGTTTTTTTGCTTCGTTTGAAACTAAAAAGAGGAAAATTCATTTCCATCATTTTAGATTTCAAAATTTATCCATAATCATTTTTCAATTATCCCAGAAATATCCCTCTGTCGAAGATTTCTAACAACACCAAAACCCCTAACGATTTTCCAATAAACTTGTCCCTTAAAAAAGCTAATCTACAATTGCACATTTTAAATATAATAAATGGAAATAAAAACCCGAAAATAAAAATTATTAAATTTAAAAATGTAAATTTTATACAGAAAAAAATTAGAAATTTAAAAGTCAAAACCCATTAATAAAATATTTTGATGAATAAATAACATTTCTTTTAAAGTTTCATTATTTATACTTCTTCTCACATCTGGTGATAAAAGTTTTGTACAAGAATTTCGTTGTTGTTGTTGCTTGTTTTCACCAAAAAATATTGTGGTATTTGGGGCAGAATGGTATTTTTTGACAAGGGGTAAAAGAAACATATATTTAGATGCGTAATATGGATTATCCCAAAATGAATAAGAATCCCCATCATATTTTGGAGTATTTAAATAATCATTTACTTGCTAAAAAAATTAGATTTTAATTAATAAATTAAAATATTTATTTATACCCATGCTGCCATAGCTTTTGCATTTTCTAATGGGGATGTTGTAGAGGGTGGGGATGATGAAGCAGAAAATTCGACAGCCTCTGAATCACGGCAGAAGCGTACGAATGGATCATCTTCTTCCATATTGTTTCCGTTATGAATTGGGGGAGCTCCCTTTTTATTAAAATTTAAATAAGAAAAATTTTTTTTCTAAATTTTACTTCAACAGATCTAATTGCAAGCATTTCAACTTCACTAAACAGAATATCTCTAGCCTTTTCAGGCTCCCTAAAGAAAGCACTTTTGTAGGCAGGATCTAATAGAGTAGCAATCAACAAATGTTTACTTTCTTCACAATCTAAAAATTAATTTTAATTTTTTAAATTTATTTAAAAAAAACCTCCAAATTTTATATTCAATTCTTCTTTTAATTTATCTCTAACTAAAGGAGAATTTGTATTTAATCTCCCCAATTCCCGATCAATTGCTTTAAATAATGGAATGACAGAAGAAATACAAGCTTGTCGAGAAGCAATTCTAGTTGTTGCACGATAAATTGGACGAAGTAATTCACAAATACTTTTCATGCTTTTCCATTCATTTGGAGAAAAAGCAGGAAATAATTTATTACTATAAGGAATTTTAATCAAAAATTCTTCGTTAGAAGAAAAACATTCAAATATTAATAAAGCATTATTCCAACGAATTTTTGTTCCCTAAAAAATAATTTTAAAAAGATTTTTAAAATTCCAAACCTTTTTTAAATAAATTGAGGGAATTGAATTATCATCACATAATGGAGGGAAATTTTCACTTAAAGCTCTTGATTTTCGTATCTTTCTTATTGCCTTTTTAACTTTCTCAAGAAGTTCATTTACAGAAAAAATATTTAAAGCTTCCCAAATACACTTAAAAAAATAATTTTTCTTAAAATTTTCTTTTAAAAATTACCAAATCTAATTTAATTGTTAAACATTGCATTGAATCAAAACCAGTCGAACGAATCGCCTTTCTTAAATCATCATCACTTTCTTCTCGTAAAATTAGATGAACTTTGAAAGCATCTACACGGTACTCATTCAATACATTGCTAAGTAAAGCACTGACATTTTCACATGTTTGTTCGCCCTTAATATATTTTGAAAATTAAAAAAAATCTTCGAAACCAACCTTTACAGGCTCCACAGCCAAAACACGAGAACAAGGAGTCATACTTGCAGAAATATAATGAGCAGTAAAAACAAAAAGGGTATAGGAATCGTCATTTGATTTTAAACTATTAACAGTCAACGACATAAATTCAGTCCGAATATCATCACTTACTTTTTGCCTTATTCTCGAATACAATTTATTTAAAACAAATGAAGAAAAGAAACGTTGGGGTCTTTTAAAATAATTAAAATTATTTAGATTTAAAAAATGTTAACAGGAAAGGCTGCGAGGTGTCCGACCTAAAAACGGTCAAGAACGGGCTCATTCGATAGAGAATATGCCCTTCTAGCGAGGATTTTGTGCCGTTTTTGCCCATTTTTTATCTGTTTTTAGGTCGGACACCTCTCAACCTTTCCTTGTAAAATTATATTTTAACAATATTTAAATTACCTTAATTTATATTCAGGTACAAGAATATTTAAAAGATTTTTCAGTCCAGGTTCTTCAATAAATGAAAGGGGAAGGGACGCCGTACAAATTAAACTAATTATAGCTTCATCCAATTTTGAATTATAACCATCATCATCTTCCTCCACTTTTTCTGTCATTAATAATAATTCATCATTTGGAGAACACCAATTCCTATCATTATTAACAACATTTTCAGAAGTACTATCAAAATTAGAAGATGACTAAATTTAAAAATTTAGAAATGTTAAAAACAAAAATAAAAACTTTATTTTCTTTTTTCACTCTTTTCCTAACAGGTCTAGTTATAGGTTTTTCTTGCTGTTGCTCTTCATCTGCTCTTAATTTTTGGAATGACTCTTTGTGATAACGTTCAAGATGTGCACGTAAACATGTACGTGGAAATGAAGACGAAATAGATTTGTAAAAATAATTGCAGTCTTTACCCAAGCATTTAGCAGTTCCATCAAAAATATAAAAATATGCATCATATTTGCTATTTCTGTTACGCATTTTGCTAAAAATAAATATTACAAACAATTAAAAATAAAAAAAATAAAATAGAAAAAAGGTTAAAACATAAAACGAAATTTTGAAAGAAAGGAAAAAGTTTCGTTCCGCGCGAAAGTACGGGGCATTTGTTGAATGAGGTTAAAGTTTAGCCGATTTTCAATTCTTTCGATAAATTACGTTGCATTGACGAAATAATGAAAAAATTTCGCTTCGAAATTTTTTTCGAATGGATTAAAAAATTTTAAAAAAATTGAAAAAAAAAAACTTTAAAATTTTCAAGTTAAGTATTAGCGACGTTTTAAGATTAAATGGCAGGAGGGTTTACGATACCAGAAAATCTAAATGGAGGACTTTTCTTTTTCGAAGGCAAACGCCGAACAGTTGGTGGGATTAATACATTCCCAGTTTTCGAACCTAGAACAGGCCAACAATTAATGAAATGTCCGTGCGCGGATGCTGCACTTGTTGATTTAGTTATCGGACAAGCATCAACTGCGCAACGTGCATGGGCAGCAAAAAGTCCGTTTGAACGTTCAAAAATTCTTTTGCGAGCAGCTGAATTGATTCGAGTTTTTTTTTTTAAATTTTATTTTTTATAAATTAAAAATTAAAGGCAAATTTGGAATCGATTGCAAAATGGGAAGTAAAAACGAACGGAAAACCTTTGATTGAGGCTCGTTTGGATATTGAATCAAGCGCGGATACTTTTAGTTTTTATGGAGGAATTTTACCTGCGCAAATGAAAGGTGAGAAAATTTTCTTTAAAGACTTAAAAAATAGTTAAAATTTTGGGTGATTTTATTGATCTTCCGATTGAAGGCCAAAATAGTGGTCGTTTTGCATATACTCGACGTGAACCTTTTGGAGTTGTTGGGTGTATTGGGGCGTGGAATTATCCTTTTCAGGTTTAAATTATTTTAACTAAATATTTCAGCATTTTATTTAGACATGTTGTTGGAAAGTAGCACCGGCTTTAGCTGCTGGAAATGCTGTCATATACAAACCAAGTCCATTTGCACCGGCGAGTCCTGTCTTGTTGGCAGAATTACTTAAAGCAGCTGGTTTGCCAGATGGTCTTTTTAACGTTTTACAAGTTTTTAATAATTTATTAAACTAAAATAAAAGAATTTATTTAAGGGAGAAGCAGCTACTGGTGAATTAATTTGTACAAATCAAGATATTGCTAAAGTTTCCTTTACTGGTTCCTTGCCAACTGGAATGAAAATTCAAAAAGCGTGTGCTGAACCGAAACGTATTAAGCCGGTCAGTTTTTAATTTTCAAGCAGAATATACACAAAAATCTCGCAATTATAATCCACACTAAGGTTAAAGTCTATTGAATCAAAAATGTTTTTTTTGAAAAATCCTTGAGTTATAAATAAAAATTAAAAAAGAACCAGCTTAAATTAAGTTCGAAAAAAGCGAAAATTTTAAAAATATCCATCATCTGAAAAATTTTTAGTTTAAAGTTTTTGAGAAAAAATTGTGACTTGCAGTTAAATAGTTGTGGACTTTTTTGTGTTCATAACCTAAATCCTATTTTTGTTATTTTTTAGGTTACATTAGAACTTGGAGGAAAATCAGCTCTTATTATTTTTGATGATGCTGATATGAAAACTGCTGTTGAAGCTGCAATGCTGGCAAATTTTTTAAATCAGGGTTATTTTTAAATTTGAAAAATTATTTTTTCGATAAAATAATTATTTTTAAAGGAGAAGTGTGTACAAACGCCACTCGCGTTTTTGTCCAAAAATCTATTTTTAATGAATTTCAAAATCTACTCTTGGCGGAAATGGAGCGTAAATTAATTGTTGGAGACCCGTTAGATGAACGTACAACTGTTGGGGCAACAATAAATGAACAACATTTACAGAAAGTTTGTGGATATGTTAATCGAGCTGTTCAACAAGTTTTTTTTAAATATTTTTAATTTAAAAAATAAAAAATTATTTTTGGGGTGCCCAGTTACTCTGTGGTGGAATTCGTGTACACCCAACAAATGTTGAAGGGGGTTTTTATTTTAAACCTGCTTTACTTACTGGTTTAAATGATGAAATGGAAATTGTTCGAGAAGAAGTTTTTGGTGCTGTTTGTCTTCTTTTGCCTTTTGTTAGTGAGAGCGAAGCTATTGTACGTGCAAATAAAAGTGATTATGGATTGGCTGCTGGGATTTGTACAAAGTGAGGGAATTAATATTTTTAAAAATAATAAATAAAAGAGCATCATTTTGGGGTTAAAACGTTCAATATTTTAAAGAATTTTAATTTTTAAAAATTATTATAGAAGTCTTTCGAGAGCCCACCGTGTAGCTGCTGAACTTCAAGCTGGGACGATTTATGTAAATACCAAGGGCGTATCCAGGGGGTCGGTTTCGGGGGGGGCTAACACTGGGTGGGCGCAAAAATTTTTGGCGTTTACCTTGGCGTTCCTACGGCAAATTTTTTTGTACATAACTTTTTATATTTTAAGCGCCGCAGGCGAAAATTTTTTTAATTCTAGATGGCCGTAGGCCAAAAAAATTCCGTTTTTTGCGCCGCAGGCGAAAATTTTTTAAAATTCGAAGGCCGTAGGCCAAAAAATTACACTTTTTCAGCGCCGCAGGCGAAAATTTTTTGGAATTTTGAGCCCAAGAAGCCAGATTTCTTCCTTTTTTAGCGCCGCAGGCGAAAATTTTTTGAATTTGGAGGGCCATAGGCCAAAAAAGTTCACTTTTTAGCGCCGCAGGCGAAAATTTTGAGGATTTTGGAGCTCAAGAAGCCAGATTTCTTCCATTTTTTGCGCCGCAGGCGAAAATTTTTTAAAATTTGAAGGTTGTAGGCAAAAAAATTTCACTTTTTCGACCATCCTTCTCCTAACTTTTTCCCCCTTTCCCCCATTTCGGGGGGGGCTCTAGCCCCCCCCAGCCCCCCCCCTGGATACGCCCTTGGTAAATACTTATAATGACACAGAGGTATTTTAAATATTGTTAAATAATTTTTTAAATTTAATTTAGGTCCATATTCCATTTGGTGGTTATAAAAATTCTGGTTATGGACGTGAAAATTGTGTTGAATGTCTTCATTCATTTACACAACTTAAATCTGTTTATGTTAATATTGGTAATGAACAAAATTCAAACAAAGAAGTAATTATGCTTGACACTGAATAAATATAGTAATAAATTTAGAAATATATTTTACAATTTTCTCAAAATATTCACTTATATATCATTAAGAAAATTAAATAGTTTTATATTATTTTGATATTTTTTATTAAAAAATTCTTTAAAGCAACATACATCATTATTATCCAATAAAAAGAGAAATTAATTAATCTTTATTAGGGGACATAACATAAAATATATTAGATTTGTTTCATGTCTTTCCCTCATTAATCACAAATTTTTGGCAAAATTAGTTTTTTTTCTTCAATTTTTCATCGAAATATTTCTTTAACAACAAAATAGCACAAACCTTTCCCTCCTCTTATTTATATTCTCTAGGGATTGCCGTCATGACTAAGAAAAGATTAAAATAAATGTCGTGCGCATTCGTGCGAGTATTTAATTGGTGCCATATCTCCATCTACATAAACATCCTCAGCTATATATGGAGAGAGAAGGAAGGTGTAACCCTTCCTTCCCTACTACCTCTTTTTGAATTTTATTTAATTTTTTTTTTCAAATTATTAATTTTGTTTCTTTTTTGGGTTATTTTTTAATTCTATTTTTAAATAAAAGAATTTTAAGAAAAAACATTTTTTTGTTTAAAAAGTATCTTTTTCTAACATCAAAACGGAAGCAAAAAATCACGGTCGAATGAACTTATTTACTGACTTAAAAGGATTGTTTGGAAAATGAATCAAAGATAATTTGCTTGCATTTATATAAACTGCAATATTTACTATTCCTCGTGTAGCTTAAACTTAATAGAATTATTTTAAATCATAAAATTGTAATACTTTTTAGTTTTAAGTTAATTTCACTGTTTAGCAGCGATCAGTCGGAAGTTCGGTTTCCGGTGATTGTCTTCCGATTTTCCAAATTTGAAGCGCTTTCGAGTTTCGATATTTTAGCATTTCCTAACTCTTATTTATAAAATTTTACTTTTGACATTATTTTTTTAGTTATCCAAAATTATTTTTACTTCTACCAGTTATAAGTCTACAAAAATGACCAACAATAGATACAATACAAATTCTTTACGAATTCCCACAAGTAAAAATATTCATCGCTACAGTTATTCATTTATATTTATTTGCTTTTTACTATTATTTATTGTAAATTTTTCCAATGAAATGAGCTTTAAAATCAAGAGGAATATAAATATGAAAAACAACAATGGGGAATTTAAAGCTGAACTAGTAAATAAAGTATTCCTTAAATTGGTTATTTAAGTTAAATTTATTTTTTAGCGTTCTATTCAAAGACGATGGGTTCCTCTAATTGAAGAGTTAAAAGAGGTTAATGAACAATATCCATTTTTGGGGCCTATTGATACAAGCAAACGAGAAGTTAGTGAAAGTGAATTAAATTCTCTTTTAAAAAATGCCTGGCTTGGACGGTGAAGAAGATAATAAAAATCAGAATAAAAAGGAGAGAAAATAAAGTTTATCATATTTTCATACACAGATTATTTTTTAAAAAGTTTCTTTTGAAAAATAAGATTTTGAAGCCTTCATTATGAATAAATAAATTTAATAAAATAACAAATTCTACTACTATGTTTTCATAGTTTATGTACATAGAAAATGATTGCTTACTTGATGATTGCGTCTCTGGTTAAGTGGCTAAATTGTTGGCTCTCTTTTGTTGCTCTGTTGAATTTAGTTTGGGCAGTGATGAAAATGATAGAAACGTTCGCGGTTTCCACTCTAGCCAAGGCGATGAGGGGATTCATAAGTCTGAGCCCGTAATTTATTTTTTTTCAAAACTTTTTCTTAAATTAGAATTAAAAAAATTTAATTAAAAAATTGAAGTTTATTTATTTACAATTTATTATTAACATTTTTGTTGTTATTGTTGGTTTGTTAGTTCATTATAGCTAGGTGGAGGCTCAGTTGGATAAGTAGAAAGAGAATTATTCGGTAGTTCGTTATGATAATTTTGTTGATTTGCTGATAAGGATTGTTGTTCTGTCTCTGTAAATGATAAAAATAAATTTAAATATGTATTTTAAAACCCCAATTCGTTGAAGTGTTAAGTTGTTGTTGTTGCCGTTGTTGTTCTATTCCCTCCAAATGTTGACGTGTTTGCATTTCTTGCTGAATCCTAAGCAAGAGTTCATGAAATTCTGCGAGGGTTAATGATTGGGATTGGTGCAAAGGTATAGGGCCACCAACTGATCGAGAGGAATGAATTGGACGTCTGAAAGGAAAATTCTTTGTAAAATAATTTTTAAAACAAACCCTCTACAAATAGATGTTGGCAATTGAACTGTTACTTCAGTAATAGGCTAAAAAATAATAATAAAGTGATAAAATATATTATTTTACCGAAACAGATCTTCGTCTTCTACGCATTCTTTGTTGTTGTTGTTGATTATTTAATAGAGGTCTAGTATATTCCCCACCACTCTCTGTTAAAGGCAAAAGCCAAGTAAGTGAACGTTGTTGTTGATTGCTATTAATATCACTATTATTTTGTTGCCTTAATTCATCTCCAACACCCATTGCTGCCCAATAATGGGGTGGGGGTGTTGGACGTTGTTGATTCTATTAAAAAATTATGGTAGATTAAGAGAATTTTTTATAAAAATTTTCTTTACATTTTGTTGAATTAAAATTCCATTACAATTTGTGTTTGTAGTAGTAGCTGTTGTTGTTTGGTGATGAATATTATAGTAGGTGTGACATCGTTTAAGTAACAAGTAAAGTACCCGAATTGCATAAATGACCAAAAATAATAAAAAAAATATTTGTATAAATTATTAAATTGTTTTACTAATGAAGGCAATAACAACAAGAAAAATACACAAATAAGTAAATTGACAAAAGTAGTTTCCCATCCACGTTGCTGGCCTGCAGTAATTGATGCAAGATTATTGGTGGCTGAATGAGAGAATAGTGAGGTTGAAGTCTAAAAAAGGTTTTTACTAATCGAACAAGAAATAATTGTGTCATAATTTCTGTATCTTACAGGAATTGGCGGTTTTTCTTTAATGGATTGACTTGTATCCTGATACTCGCAAAAAGGCCCAAAGAATCCCGTCAAGCATTCACAACGAAATTCATTGCTATTTTGTCCAAGCAAAATTGGTTCTCCATCATTTAGGCACTAAAAAACAATACAAGTTTCACAAAGGATATAATAACACTAACCGGATAACGGCATTCATTTTGAAAAAATAATAAACAGGATATAAAAATATTTGATAAAGTAATAGTTAAATATTGCATAGGTGAAAATAAAAATACTTTTTAAACTATAAAATGAAGGAATATTCAATACAAAATAAATTCCAATTCTCCCGTGAACACACGTGAAGAATGATTAAGATTACTAAAAACATGCATGCAGACTTGTGGTCCTCAAATAGCCAACTGTTTTTATTTTAAATGATCAGAGGGAAGATTGATTGCAGTAGATAAATTGGTATATTGACAGAAACCCACAAAAATATCTCTAACGTTAAAAGAACTACAACTATATCATCAGTTCAAATTTTAGATTATAAAAAAATACCGAAATTAGTAAATCTTAGATTTATGCATTAATTAAAGGAATTTAAAAAACTAAAGCAAAAAGGCAAAAGAATTCAAAAACAATTAGAGTTGAATATATCACCAAAAATTTTTTAAATATATACATATTATATACAAGGATATTTGCTTTTAATGGAAAATAAGTGAAAGTAGGCGGAAATATACAAGCAAAATTAAAGAATTTAGTGCTTAAAATATACACAGAAAATCTGCCCAAATATGCACTAGCCACAATATACATTTGCATATTTCCGCCAGGCCTAGTTATTAGGTGTACAGTAAAATATTTAAGGTTATAAAAACGTCAAATTAAACGATAAGCAATATACGGTTTGCTAATAAATTATAAACAACCTCAATCGGATTAACTTATCTTTATGGATGACTTGTAATCTGGCTACGCTGATATATTTAAGTTTTCATAAATGATTTAAATTTGTCGCTTTTTAGGATTTGTCTATGAAATATAAATATTTTGACTTTTAACAAGTTTACAAGTCATCCGAGGATTTTAAGGATACGACTTGAGGGACATGGAAAATAGAAAGAAGGTTAAATTAACAAACCATATACGTGAAAAGCAGTCTAAAAGATCGAGATAAGAAAGGGAGTTTAAAAACTAAAGATGCCCCCCCCCTAAAAATAATTTTGGAAATACTTAAAAAAATAAGAATTCATTCTTTATTCATTGGGTACTCAGCTATTTTCGTTTGTTGTACAATAAACTCAGAAATTTCAGGTTGTAATCTTTCTGCTTCAGCCAAAACAATACCAAAAGTAGAATCGTGTAAAAGATTTAAGTTTCGTCTAACAGTTTTGCAAGACCACCTACCACTAAGCGCTCCCCACTTATCTTCAGGCGAAGGTTTTGAAATGTCTCGAATGTATGTAATAAGTGATTTGGCACGATTCTCTAGACGCAAATGGAAATGATCAATGAAGGAAATTCTTGCTGCTCGATTTAAAGGCATTAAACAGATTTGTTCCAAAAATTCAACAACGCTTCGCTCTGCTTTGACGATTTGGGTTTCCCTAAATTGTATTAAATATTTTTAAATTTAACTAGAACAAACAATGTATTTTTAATAAATTCTCCTCCGCCATTCAAAAATTTTTGATTTAAATCATTCAAGACATTATTTGGAATATCCAATCCACAATCCATTGCTTCGCGGATAACATAAAATATTTGAAAATGTTGTTCTGCCCGTTTTTGAATTCGATGTTTTTGATAAAGTCCCGTATATATTACTGAACCACGATCAATATCAAGCAACGAACATGGCCAATGAGCATTAGCAGCTTGTTCAAAGAATTGATAAATTTCTGGCTAAAAAATTTAAAAAAATTGTAAAACATTTAAAAATCTCCTCTCTTACTCTTTTAATTGCTTGTAAACGAATATAAGGAGAGTAAGGCAGTTTGTAAGGCCGAAGACTATAAAGCCGATCTTGAGATTTTGTAAAGGCACAAAGAGTCATTAATAATTTAAAAACTTCTTTAGAATTACTTCCAACAATAGCACAACGACCTCTACAAATTAATGTTGCTGTGATACACCGAGCAATAAAACTCTTTTCGTTTATTCTTTCAAAATTTAATTCCCATAAATGGCTTTGTTGAATTCGAAGTTGAGAAATGTTTGAATGAAGAGAAAGAGGCCATCGTTCAAGAGCACCTAATTTTAAAATTTAAAAGAAAAATTAAAATTATTCCAAACTAATTGTTGTGAGAAAAGTTGAAAATTCCCGAGTACATCGACATACTAAATCATCCAATAATTCAACTGTATGAGCGGGCCTAAATTTTTATTTAAAGAAATGCTTTCAATTAAAAAATAACATAAAACGAGCAATAATATCTTCAAAAATTTCTTGAAAAAATGGTTGGCGTTGCAAATACCAATCAACTCTAGAAAATTTTAAAATTAGAAAAAAGAATTTAAAAAATAAAAAAAACTTTTCAATAGGTAAAATAACTGTAAAAGCTGCAAGATTGGGTGAGGCACAAAATCTTTGATTTTCTGTTCGAGTTGCAAATATATAAGAACCAAAAGAAATATGTCTTGCCGCAACAATACAAAATTTATGTAAAACAGGATTTGAGGATAATTGAACACTTTAAATAAAATTTTTAACAAAAAAATCTAATCTACAAAAAAACCTGGCAATTTGTTCAGCAAGTACATGTTTAGCTACAAAAGCTTCATCAGGAATGGCCATCCAATAACCGCTAGATTCATTCGGTGTCATTTCAGCATTAAAAAATTCAGCTTCTTTTTGGAAAAATTCGTTGATTTTTGAATTTTTGTCATTTAAAGACGAGCAAGTATTTACAGGATTGGAATAGGTAGAGGAAAAGAAGGAAGAACCAATTTGGCTCGTAATAAATAAATTATTTTGTATTTCTGTACGAACAGGGGGGCTAAAATAAAAAAGACATTTAAAAAATTTTAAAAATTGGTAAAAAATTAGAAAAGAACGGTTAAAAATTCGGTACTTATGCCGATTTCCGACCCCCAGTCTGCTTTTTGCTTGATGTAAGAAACGGTCAATCATTTCTTACTTCCAAAATTCTGCATCCTTTTAAGAAACAGCAGAATTCAGAAACATTATTTAAATATTTAAAAATTAAATTTAACAAAAAGACATACATATCTTCAACAACAGAAGTTTCAGAATAATTATCAGCATCAAATTCAATAACTTCTTGTGCCCCATTTATTTTTGCATCCAAAAGTAATTCTCCTTTTTGTAATTGAATATCACAAGATTGATTATCTGCTTTATAGATAACATTTTCTAAAATAAATATTTATTATTTCCTTTAATTTAAAAAGTCAAAACCTTTAGGTTCTTGTAAAAGAAAGGCGCTCAAATTACTTTCTGTTGAAATTGTTGGAGCTATTCCAGAATCTACACAAGAGGTTACCATTGCTGGAGAGGGAGAGGAGAAAGAAGGCTGTTGTTGGTCATTTCTTTTTTGGGTTTTATTAATTGAATTAATTGTTGGTGATTTTGAAATTTTCGTAGGTGATGCTAGTTTCTAAAAAGAAAAAAAAGTCAGCGAATTTTTTCAAATTTATAGTCAAATTCTGGAGTTGAAAACTAAATAAAAAATAAAACAAAACCTCTTTTTGTGGAGTTAATTGTTCACTTGTACTTTGAATATGAGAAAAGGAATCTGTAGACTCCACCATTGTAGAGGATTGTGTTCTCGAAATTTCAAATTTACTATCAAAATCGTTAATAGAATCCCCATTTCTTCCAAATTTTAAAGAGGCAAGTTGAAAAGATTCACTCTGAAAAGGAAATTCTTATTTAAGTTAATTTATTTTCTTCTAAAAAATTAAACATTGTAAGCATCAATATCTTCAAATTGTGCACTATTTGAACTAATTGTATTCTAAAATTTTTATTTAAAAAAATTTTCTAAAAAATATAAAAAATACTTTTGTATAGGAAGAATCACTTGTACTTACACATCCATCTCCAGTCTCAATTTCATTATCCAATTCAATTCCTTCAGAATTATTAATTGTTGAATTATTTCCATTTTTAATTGAATAATCAGCTTCCCAACAAAATTTTAATTCAGGTCCAGCCATATAATCAAATGAAGACCAAACAATTTTTTGTATAGGACAGACATTCTCTACAGGCAAAAAAATGTGATTTGACTTCTCCTAAAAATTAAATAAAAATTAATTTGTAAAGAAATATTTATAAAAATTTACTCTAAGAGCATCAGTAATTTCTTGAAATAATTCTGCTTCCATTATTTAATACATTAAATTAATTAAAATCTTTAAAAATTATAAAAATTGAAATAAAAAACCTAAAATTAAAAATGACTCACAGAAGGACGTTTCATTTCCAAATTTTTATTTTTTAGTTGCTCAACGCCTTTTTGAAGTTTTTTACAGTAAGATTTACAAAGTAAATAACTGATGAACTTTTTGGCTGATTTTATTATCAAATGTGCACTAAAATACGGAAAAAATAATAATTAAATATTTATTAAAATTAAATTTCTTACATTAAATTTAATTAAATTAAGCCTAAAACTAAGTATTACAGAAAATTATTTTTATTTAAAAAAAATTAATTATTTATTTAATTTCTAGAAATAAATATAATTTAATAAAAAAAATGTTTTAATTTTTTATTTTAACCTAAATCTTTCATTTTATTGCCTAATTACCATAAATCTGTTTAAAAATTTTATACTTCTGCTTAAATTATTTCACACTTCAAGATTTCCAAATTAAATATACAAAAAAATAAAATTTTGATATTTTAATGGACATTAATTAATTACTAATTTATTTATAGCCTTTAATCTGATTCTATTTTTAACTTTTTATTTCTTAACAGGTTACTTAGCGACCAATTATTGAAATAAAGATTATAAATAGAGAATGTTTTTTAATAAAGTTTTTAGTTTAAACTTAAAGAAAACTTAAAAGTTATAAAAATATTAATTTAAATTTTAAAATTATTCTTGATGGCATCAGCACCTTTGTCAGGTCCTTCAACATCTTCATCTCTAGTTACTACATTATGTGCAGTATGTGGAGATACAGTTAATATTTAATAATTATTTTAATAAAAATAAGTTATACATATTTGTCGGTTATCTTCTCTCCCTCCCCCCTTTTTTTTTGATTTATACATACCTAATTCAAAAGAGATAAGTTGTGAGTAAAATAAGCAACGACTGTAGCTACATAATTCCCGACAAATATTAATTAGCCTTAATCGGCAGTGTAAATTTAAATATTCTTTCTACCAACGCTCATTTCCTGAAGTATAAAATTTTTTGGCCTTTTCTATTTTTTAAAATTTTTGTATTATTGTGAAGCTAAGACTTTGGGCTACAAAATAAGATAAAAACAAATTCGGATAAAAATAGTTATCACTCAAAAAACAAGCGATAACAAACAACCTAGTATATTAATTTTAGTTTATTAAAAACTTTTCAGGCTTTTGGAAAACATTACGGTGTGAACGCTTGGTTTGATTTAACATATAATTTTTTAAATTATTATTTTTTAAATATTTTATTTTATAGTAATGGATGCAAAGTTTGTTTTTGTTTATTTAATTTAATAAAATTTGTTGAAAGGGATTTTTCCGTCGAAGTATTTGGAGTCAAAAACGTTATAAATGCCGAAATAATGGGTTGTCAGATAAATAATGAGCCCTTCTCACATTTTTATTCTTTGTTTATGTATAGGTATTCGAATTTTAGTTAAAATTATTTTCCATTTACTTGAGTCGATAGTTCACGATTTTTTCTACTATTCTAAACCATTTAAAAAATTAATTTTGATTTTTGCAGTTTTTTAAAAATTTTTTAAAATTATGTCCTCAAAATCTGAAATTCGGGCTGTTGTTTTGTATTGCTTTAAACTCGGTCTAGGTACAACTCAATCCAAAAAAGAAAATGCCGCCTTGAAGGGCACAAGTTGGGCATCTTTTGCAATAATTAAGCGATGTTATAAAAAAATTCCGTGATGGAGATATGGGCTTAGATGCCAAAAACCCCAAATTTGGCCCAAATTTGGGATTGTACACTGGGAATTAACTCCTAAGGGCAAATGATTGACGGGCGAACTCTACAGAACAATATTGGACAGAGTTCTGCTTGACTTTGATGTTTTCACTGTTTGTGCGGTTTGTTATGGTCAAGTTGTCTTTCAACAGGAAAATGCACCCCCGCATCGCGCGAAGGTAAATTGATCCCACATTACGGAGACACTCGTATGGCAATTTTTATTTCATCCGCCTTATTCACCGGATATTGCGCCGTCTAACTATCACTTATTCCGTTTGATAAAAAATCATTTGCGAGATGTGAGGTTCCAAAATAATGCTCAACCCTCAAATTGGGTCGCCGGATTTCTAGATACCAAATCTGCCACTAGATTTTATCAAAGGGGAATTAAAAAACTTTCCAGCATGTGGCAAGATGTGATAGATAATAATGGACATTAGATTGTTTCTTAATTTCATTTCATTATTTAGTTATAGTAAATTGTTTTAATTATGCGCAAAGGGCTCATTATTTATCTGACAACCCATTAATAATGAATGTAAATTATTTAAAGGTTTAAAATATTCTTTTAAAAATTATTAAATATTTTGTTATATTAAAAGAGCAAAGAAATTCTTGCAGATTTTGTCGATTAAATAAATGTTTAGCTGTTGGAATGAATCCAAGGGGTTTTTGATTTTTTTTAGATAATTTATTAATTTTTTTAGCAATTCAAAGTGAACGTGTTCTGCCACCTTCACAGACTGAAAATAATGAAATTAGAATTGTTTCTTCTTGTATTTCTACTAAAAGAGCGATTATATCTTGTGTTAAAAGTTCCAGTTCAATAGAAACACAAACTGAGTTTGTAATAATTATTCTTTAAACGAAAAGAGTTTTTTAATTTCTCTCCTTTAACTTTTTTAAATTAAAAATAAGCATTTAAATTTTTAGACGTTCATTCCTTCTCGACAACCCTTCATTTCGTTTTTCCGAATTTGGCCCAACAACAACACAATTTCAACACCAAATATTTACTTCACTAGTTTCACATCCAGTATCTTCTTTAAAAAATGATAATTTTTCAATATTTAATTTATGTAAAAATAATTTGTTAGAACAACAACTAAGCGAAAAACCATCAACTAGTGGGGGATTAAACAAGATGGTATTTATAATTGTGATATTTAATTATTTTTATACTAAAAAAGGAAATAATTTTATTTAGTACAAATCTGCAATACATATTTAAAATAATCTTCCTTCTAAAATATGTATCACCTTAGGAGAAAGAAAAAATAAAAATTATAATACTTAATTTTATTACTAAATATTTTCTTTCAAATTTATATAAAAATTCTTCCTTAATAAATTTTGGCAAATAATAAATAAATATTTAGTAAATTATTTTTTTAAATTAAAATATTCACTAGACAAATACATTACCATTAATATTTGACATGGATTGCCAATTTAAAGAACAAAAAGTAAAAGAACTTGTAGAAATACAAAAATGTTTATTTAATCGAGTAGACGATATTGAATTGAAGTTTTTAATTTAAATTAAATTTAAATTTAAAAAATACCTATTTATTTAGTCAACAAATTCAGAATTCAAATATATCAACAAATACAGAATTTATTTATTTATTCAATAATCCAACAATTCTTTGTTCCCGAACTAAGGCAATCAAAAAAATTTTTTAATTAAATTTTAAGAATAAATTTAAAGATAGATTTATCAGCAAATAGAATAGCTACGGCTACAGATGCTGCAAATGTTTGGAGATTTTTAAATTAATATTATTTAAAATATTTTCTAGGATTGGAACAGATGTTTTGTTTTATTTATTGATTTCCTCAAAGCTTTACCAGAAATTGATAAATTTCCAATAGAAGATCAAGTAAATTATTAATATTTAATTTTAAGAGTTTTGAATTCTAAACAAAAATAATATTCACTTATAAAGTTAAAGAGACTCATTCCGCTAACATTCCCTTCAATGTAAAGTATAAAGTAACTTACTCCTTGTCCTTTCCTCTTTAAGTCATTTAATTTTACAATATAAGGTTAAACTCATTGTTAATATTTTTATCACGATTGATGTAAATAATTAAAAGTAGCTAATAATGAAAACAGACTTTTATATACTTAGCATTAAATAAAAATTTATTTTTAGATTATTATAACAAAAGCAAGATTTCCGGCGTTTCATTGGGCATTATGTGCACTGTGGACATTAGAAACTGGAATTGACAAAGGAATATGTTATTGTAATGGATGTTTGTAATTTTATCTTTTATGACTCATCACTTAAATAATTCCCTCTTTTATTTTTCAGCATATTTTCCGCGCGAACCTTCCCTTCAATGTATTTTAGTTGAAAGTAAATGTGTAGAGAAAATGTTTACAGTTTTAGTTGAACCTTTAAGTAAATTACAATTAAATGAAATTGAAATTAGTTTATTTTATATTATTGTTATAATATCTTCAAGTTTGTTTAATTAAATTTAAAATAAAAATAAATTAATTTTTTAAAGCAATCCCTGATTTATCAGAAAAAAGTAAACAAAAGTTTTCTCTTCTAAAGCAACACTATTTCTCCCTTTTATATAACAATATTTTTTGTAAAATAATTTCTAATGAATCTTCACCAACAACAACTTCAAACGAAGCAAGTATTCAGGCATCTGTACGTGCTGGACATATACTTATTTTGTGTTCTGCTATTACCGTAAAATATTTTTGTTTTTTTTAATTATAAAAATATTTGTTAAAGGAAATGACACACATTTCGAGTGATAATATTCAAGCAAATAATGCACTTCAATTACTGGTTATTTTTGCTTTGTTTTTTAAATATTTTGTTAATTTATAGAGTATGGAAACTTGGAAAATATATCAAAGAATTGTTTAATGTTATTTAAAAATTATTGGTAGGCTAATTAGTTTTAATAAAAATACATGAGAGAGAAAGGACTTTTAAAAAATTTTAAATTTAAATATTTAAAAATTAAACACCTTTTATCTTTTCCGATTTTTTTTGATTATACATATCTGTCAATATTATATCTCTAACGAAACATTTTCTCTTTCTCTAAGAACTATTTTTTCCAAAATTCGATCAATTATTTTTTTCTCCCTTCCTCTCACTCTCTCGGCTGTCAACGGCTGTCAAAACAAATTCACTTTGGTGAATAGTTTACATACATATATTTTTTACCAAAATTTATGTTTAGTAAAAGGAATAGCATCTTTATGTAATTTACTGGCTGAAAATTAAATTTTGGTGGAAAAGCAATGAGATGTTTTTATATTTTGTTGAGTAAATAACTACATTCTTTTATAGACCTAAAATTTAGTATACATCTCATCTCTCTCTTATGGCTGTCACTTTACCCCTAGGGTTGTTGATTCTTTGAAGATTTTCGTTGAGAACTGAGCCAAAGAATCAAACTGAAAAATTCTCGGTTCTTTTATTCGGTTTTGAACCAACAACTCTAATTATCTCCATTTTCCTTCTTATCATCAAATTAAAATTCTTTTGGAATAATTAATAGTTTTTCTTCTTTTAAAATTTTAAAATTTTTATTAAAAATTTTGATAAATCAATTTTTGGTTAATTAAAAATATTTTTCCACCATTTGTCATTTTTCTTTCTTTCTCTTTACTTCATTATTTTTTAAATTTTTTTCTTTATTTACAGCCTGTCGAGAACATTCATTTAATTCTTCGTGGAAATCATCATAAAACGTAAAAAAATATTTTATTTATTTAATGCCAACATAAAACAACTAAACAAAAAGGCTAAAAACTAAAAATTAAATAAAAATTAAAATTTAATTTCTATGTTCCAAAAATTACCTTACTTCTTCTTTTTCAATTCTTCAACAACAATTATTTTTTCATGCTCACCACAGTTTTAAATACTAATTTAAATAATTCCACAACAATAATTACAGCAACAAACTCTTCTTTAATTGCATGGCTTAAACGGTGGCCAAAAGAATTTGTTCGATTTTTAATTTCTCCTCCATCAATTAGTGACGCTATGCCCGATTCTGGTCCTTGGAAATACGACTACGAAAATTCTGTTCTTCATTTTGGGGAACACGAATATGTTGTTTTTTATTTTTGGAAAATGGGGAGTGGACTTGGTAATTAAATTGGAAATAATTTAATTTATAAACTAACATGTTTTTAAAACAAATTCAATTCCAATTTATGTTGGGTTTATTAATAATTAAGTTTGGGAATGTCCCCAACACTTCAGATACCCAGATGTACACTTGAGTGTACTTTTTCAAAAATTTGATTGACCACGTAGAGTGGGGGTATTTAGATTACCTACTTATAAAAAATTTTGTATGGACTTTTTCCAATTTTTAACAAAAAAATCATTTAAATCTCTTAAAAATATTCAAATTTAAATTTAAAAAAAAGGTTTGGCAGCTTCAATGTTAGTAGTTAGTTTAGTAGCTATTTTACACGAGGCAGTTCTCGGTCTTCGTTTTATTTTAGAAAGAGAGCAAACACTTTTAAATTCTCAAAAACAACAACAAAAACAATCTATTTCTACAATTAGAATAAATGAAAGAATTCCTTCAACAAGTACCCACAGATATATTAATGAGCAAAATATTAATGAAGAAAATATAATTGAAGAAAATTTAACAATTAAAAGCGAATTAAAAAATATTTTTAGAAGAACATTTACACGGAATAGAATGATTCAAGCTTTTCTTTATGCCTGTCAATGGGGCCTTTTTATTTTTGCTTTTGTACTTGTTCCTTCTGGAACTTTTAATATTCCCTTAATTTTGGCTGCTTTAACTGGCAAAACTATTGGCTATTTGGTAAAATAAATAAATATTAAATAAATATTTTTATTTAAAGTTATTTATTGGATCACCAGCAATGGAATCTGTTGAAAGAATTCCTCCATCACCTACAACAAATGGTGGAAGTTCAGAAGGATTACAGTTGGGTAGAACTAGAAAAAGTCTTCGATCGTTTTAAAATTTTAATCTCTCTCATTTAAATTTATGAGATCTGACATTTTTAATTATCATACTTGTAATATGTAAAATATTAATGACGGGACTTTTTTTGCAACCTAAAACTGGGGTCGGCTGAATTTTTCAATTTTATTCAACCAACCTAACAAAATTAAATTCTCTATTAATTTTTAAAACCTAGAATTTTATTTTATACAAATTAAACTTTAATATTTATGTATATTTCTTATTTTTTTATTTTTTTTAAACTTTTTTTGTAAATATTACATAATTCCCTATGCTCGAATAAAAATAATTTAATGACTTCAATTACATGATTCCAAAAGATAAAAAGGCAAAAAAAAAGAATTTGATAATAAATTAAAATTTTTTATTTTTAATTTAACTAAATCTATTTTGAATCTTCTTTATATTATTACTGAAAAATTTATAAATTATTTTTAATTTTCATTTTATTTTGTTTGCTTTCTACTTAAGATTTAGCTTGGTCGTTTGTTTTTTATTGAGAAACTTGAGAATTAGATTGAGAAAATAATTACTATTACTATAACAAAATAAACATTTACTATATTTTTCTAACTAAAAATAATTTAAATTTTAAAAATAAATATTCTTTATTTACAAACAATCCCAACATTTAATTTAATTAATTTAAATTGTTATTTGAGAAAACTTAAGTTTTATTAAAAATTAAAACATTTATTTTTAAATTTATTAGTTTTTTATTCTTAATTAAATCTGTCACAATTAAAAAATAAATTTTTTAATAAAAAATACAAATAAATTAATAAAAAATTATGAATAATAATTTGGGTAATAATAATGGCTGCTATGGAATCGGTGAAATCGAGGAGGAAAAAGAATTTTCACAGCACCATAAACCACCAGTGAAGTTGCCTAGACGATCTAAAGGTATTTAATATTTTAGAGTAATTTATCAAAAAAAAGCATTTAACATTTAAACATCCATTTTTTAAATAAAAAATTATTTTCTAAAAAAATTGATTTTTAAATTTAAAATAAAAATTTAAAAAAATGCTTCGAATGGCACTTAAGCGTGTCTCTTCCGCTTTTGCAGAAAGTGTAGCGTTTCACCGAGATCCATTCAATAAACCAGAATTGGTTCATACACTCAAAGGCCGAGAACTAATTATTTTTACAATTCTCTACATTATTGGGTATTTTTTGTTATTTTAAATATTTGGAAATTAAAAGAATTTTTGAGAAATTAAGAATATTTAATAATTTTAAATACAAAAAATTGTCTTTTATTATTTTTAGTGTAATTGGAATTGTTGTTCTTTTTGGTTTGTTATTATATTAATAATAAATATTCTTTAATATATTTACCTATATTATAGAACATGTAATGCCTGTAATTTTTATAGATGAAAAGGTAATTAATTAATAATGATTATAAAGTTAGTTTTTCGATGGTTACTTATATCCGGGTATCCAAAGATTTCATCCAAAGCTCTAATCCAAGGACAAACCATCTAAGTATGTCTCTGATATTTTTTGTTTGAAAACTTTTTTATAGCAAATTCTTTTTAATTTCAAGATGTTAGCTGAGCAAAACCGCAGGTCAAAGATATATTTGGCAAATCAAATGTTATCATAATAATATAGAAAGAAGATACATATAATTGAAATTAAAATAAAGAATTAAATAAATACAAAAAATAATTTCCTTTTTAAAAGATAAATATAGATTAAACTTTTCCTTAAATAACTTTTTAATAAAAAAAGTTTTTATTTTCTAAGAATATTAAAATTTAATTAAAAATAGTTATACATAAACCGATTGGCAGATAAAAGCTAAAAACGAGTAAATGGGAACCGGCTGGACAAACGCCTTTTTCTAAATATGTAAGAGTAAATAAAAGAAAGGATATAGATTTTTAAGTAAATTCTTTCAAAGCATTTATTTGTTGTTTGTGTATGTTAATTTAATGTTTATTAAATTTTTAATTACCCAAGTTTAAGTTCGAGATAAAAGTTATTAACTTATGGAAATCGATATGTCAACACCGTTAACTACCTCTTGTACTAACAACAAAAAATTAAAACTGCATCAATTATCTAAAAAACTTTCTAATTTCTCTGAACAATTTTCTACCGATATTCCTCCTTGGGCTACTGCAATGCTTGAAATTGTTAATTCTGTTATGGATCTCTGCAAAGACATTCTTACAACAGAACCAGAACAAGAAACTATTAAACCTGTTCCTAAATTTCGCTTTGGTGATCCACATTCTGCAACCAATGAACAACAAAATAATTCTTTCACTAATCAATCGTATTTCACCAATATTTTAAACAACGCTATATTAGACGCTGAAGAAATTAAGTCTAAGTCAAAGAGGGTCGTTATTGAACGTGCCCCAGAAAATGAAGACATTAATTCTTTAATTAAAAAAATTGCTGCCGATAGTGGAGTTTCTGCTGATCTTGTGGAAAAAGAAATTCATCGACATCCAAATCGTGAGTCTTCTGAAGGTATAAATAAGAAACCAAGGATTGTAAAAATTCCATTTGCCAATAAAAAGTCTAGGGATATCTTTTTATATAATTTTCGTAAATGTTTAAAGAAAAATCCAACTTTTCCGCAGTTTTTAACTGCAAGACGTGATATGACTCGTAACGAATTAAATATATTGTATAACTTGCGAAAGCAAGCATTTTCTATGAATCAGGCCGAGAACATGTTTAAGTACATTGTTGTCGATCTGTCAATAATTACACTCAAAAATCCACAACCGCTCAGGGCAATCAAAAATAAATAGGGACACGCAGGCAAACCGCAGTCAAAAATAAATACCGGAAATTTTCAATCATATAAATGTTTATTATTTAATTCTAGATCCCTAGCTAATAAAATACCGGATTTAAATCAATTAATCGAAAATTCTAATCCACATATTATATTAATCAATGAAACATGGCTCACAACAGAAAATACAATAAACTCTGAACTTTCATATAGGGGCAATTATGAGATTATATTAGCTAATAGAATAGGAAAAAGAGGGGGAGGATCGGCAATCCTATTAAAAAATAACATACCGTTTAAAATAATTTTCAATGGCTCTAAATTCCAATCAGAGATAATCCATATAAAATTATTTCTCAAAAAAGAAATTAGCATTATAAACATTTACCGCCCACCAAATAGTTCAATTATTAATACAAAAAAATTATTTAAATTTCTTTTAAATCAAACTGATCAAAAAACAATATTATGCGGAGATTTTAATATTAAACACATAAATTGGGATTCCAAAGAATTAACTGACAACTATGATAAGATCGCGAATATGTTTTTGGAGTTTATAGGTCAAAATCAATTAAATCAACTTGTTACTGAACCGACTAGGGAAAATTCAATCCTGGACCTTGTACTCACACCTGCTTCCAATTTAATAAGAAATGTTAATGTTAGGGAGAATTTTTCAACTTCTGATCACAGAATGATAGAGTTTGAGTTATATGAGCAGATCAGAGTAATTAAAAAACCAAAAATTTATGTCAGAGATTTAAGCAAATCCAATTTTATTAATTTGAATCAAGTTATATTTGAAAATAATTTAGATCTAGGTATATTAACAAAGTTCACTGTGGAAGATAAATATAATTTTCTGACAAAGGAATTGTTATATCTCTATAACAAATATATACCGATGAGAACCTTGAATAAGATAATAAGGAAGACATACCCCAAACGGATTAAGGAATTACACAAAGAAAAACTTAGATTATTCAGAGTCCTTAAAGAAAGAAAACATGATCATAACTTAAGACTTGAGTATAAAATCGTTTCAAAAAACCTGAAAAAACAATTAAAAATTCATCATAATACTAAGGAAGAAAAAATAATAAGTAAAGGTGGAAATTCAATACATAAGTTTATTAGAAACAGACTTACTCAAGATAATAACATACCCTGTTTAATTGATAAAGAAAATAAATTTTACTTCAGTAATGAAGAAAAATGTAATATTTTAGGAAAAGAATTTCAAAAAAACTTTCAAAATAAAAATATTAATATATCAAATTATAACAGAAATATAATTCCGAAAACAAAACTTTCAGACATAGATCTAAGCACTAGCATTGTGTGGGATGTCCTTAGATCACTTCCTAATCGTAATTCAACTTCGCCAGATAACATTCCTTATATATTATTAAAATATTGCGCTGACTCACTTGCAAAAATAATCACAGATATCTTTAGATGTATTATTGATAATAAGCAAATTCCATCTATTTGGAAAACATCACTAATTATACCACTTTTTAAAAAGGGAGAAAAATCAGATCCAAAAAATTATCGACCAATATCGCTAACATGCACCTTATGTAGGATACTTGAAAGAATTATTGCACAGCAATTAACAAAATTCCTAGAAGATAATAAGTTCTTTAATAAAAATCAGTTTGGATTTCTTAAACAAAGGTCCACAACCACACAGTTATTATCTACCATGGATGATTTATATAATGCAATACAAGATGGATATAATATAGATATTATTTACATCGACTTTGCTAAAGCATTTGACACTGTACCAATAAATATTCTTTTAGATAAAATAGAAAGTGCAGGCATAAGTGGAAAAGTATACTCATTTCTTAAAAACTTCATATCGGCTAGAAATTTCAAGATTAAGATAGGTGACCAATTATCCCACAACTATGAAACATTCTCAGGTGTACCTCAAGGAAGTGTCCTAGGACCACTTTTATTCCTTATTTTTATAAATGATCTTCCTAATGAAATCCCCGAAAATGTTGGAGTAAAACTATACGCAGACGATGTAAAACTATATATAGCTCATAAAAACGGCACAGAAAGAGAACAACTAAATAAAGCTTTAAGAATACTCGAGAAATGGACGGAATTAAATGGTTTAGAAATATCCCCTAGCAAATGCTTTGCTTTATATCTAGGTAAAAATAACATGAAAAGAGAATATATCATACATGGATTAAAAGTACAAGAAACAGAATGTATTCGTGATCTTGGAATATTAATTGATTCAAAAATAACATTTAACAATCATATAAACATGATCATAAAAAACGCATATTTAAAAAGCTCCCAAATAATAAGAATCATTAAATCTAGAAATTTAAATCTCCTCGTTAATATATATAAGACATATATAAGACCCCAACTAGAATACGCAACTGAAGTATGGAATCCACAGATGAAATATCAAATAGAGAAAATTGAAAAAATTCAAAAACTATTCACTAAAAATATTTACAAAAAATGTGGTTTAATCAAGGTCCCATATGAAGAAAGATTAAATACTTGTAAACTCGAAAAGTTAATAGATAGAAGAAAAATTGCCGATCTTTCCACCGCTTTTAAAATTATAAAAGGTTTTACATCCCTTAATTCCCAAAAATATTTTAATTTATCAAATAGATCTCTTCGCAGGCCTCTACTTCTTAGGACAAAAAAATATACAAATAAAACAAAAAATAATTTTTTTCACAGAGTGGTGAATAACTGGAATAATCTTCCAAATGAGCCATTTAAAATAAATGATCCGAAAAAATTTAGAAGCTCATTAAAATCTAATAATCAAAGTAAAATAATAAAGACATTGAGCCCTGGCGTGTGTGGTTTTTAGAGTGTTTATTTACTATTTATATATTTTTTTTCATTTCATTTTTTTTGTTGTTGTCTCACATATTTTCTTTAATTTGTATTTTTATGTTTTTTTTATGCACCACTTTAATGTATTTTAAAATACCTGTGGTTTGCTGATAAATAAAATAAATAAAAAAATAAATAAATTAGAAATATGTATTAATATAATTTACAAACTCAATCATTTAAAAAAAATCAAAAAATTAAATTTAAATACAACAAATATTTATTTATTATCTACTTTTTTACACGTTGCATTATTCAATAATTGATTTTAACATTAAATTAATTATTTAAAATTTAAAATTTTAAATATTTTTAAACTAATTTTCAAGGACCCCTTTTTCAAACTTTTCATATAAAATACAAAAAAAATATTTTTTATTCTTTCCTAATCCCAAAGTAATTTCCAGTCATTTTGCAAGTCAATTGATGACAATAAAATCGTTAATATAAATACTATGTAGTAGTAGATAATCCACAATTCAACCAGTATTTTTAAAAAAGCAATTTATTATTATTTTTTTCTAATCGGAATTTTTAAAATAAAGATTAAATAAATTTTATAAATTGATTGACAATTTTATTTTTTTTTCTAACAATTATTTGTTTTTTTAGATTATTAGATGGTAAGGCCTTCATTATCTAGCAGATACTAATTGGGAAGTATTATTTGGGGGGGGGGATGTACATTTTTTGTATATTTTTGTTTTCTTTACTAAAATATTAAAAATATCTGTTGTGATAGATTAAAATTTACTTCCTTCTTGGAAATAGTTTTTATATTTATTTTTAAATCGAAAATTTCCAATTCCAACCAAACAAAATTTATTATTTTCTCTCAGACTGTAGATTCTACATTCGATATATACATATTTCTTAATTGCTGCGCATGCGCATCCATCTACCTCTCAATTCAAATGTATGGGGAGGGAGAGTTGAGGCGAAAATTGAATTTG